GCGGACTTCACACTGGACGGTGTTCTCTACCAGCCAACCATTAGGCAAACCAAGACATATGTAAGTAGGCAGTGCAATATTGAATAAATATAAATTAATACGTAATATATTCATATATTATAAACATATAATTATCAATCAATTTTCTAAACCAATTTAACAATTTTTAATGTTTTTGACTAATTATTTAAAAGTTCTCTGCTAGCGAATTAATCGTATAAATAATATTCTGATTAAGCTGTCACTGAAAATTTCAATTTTGATGGCAAAAATGTAAAAATTTCCAAAAAAAAAAATATGTAGTAGGCGTAAAGTTTTTAGTAGTTAATGTATATGAAACATATTCATATACATTAACATTTTATTTCGCTAGCAGAGCCCTTTTTAAATAATCAATTAGAAATATTGAAAAATGTTCATTTATTTTTAAAATTTGACTGATGATGCGACGTTGCTAATCTTTGTTATGAACATTTTTAAAATATCAAAAGCTTATTAAGTAAGTGCTATGTGTACGTCACACAGACTGTGAAATATAATAGTTGCCTATCCAGGTGAATGACATTATGTACCTACGTAATTCTAATGAAAACTATATCAATGTTATTCAGAAGTTATCTCTATCCCTTTATACCGTCATCAGTGCTCATAGTACTGTATTGTATTGTGACGGGACAATATTGTACTTAGGATTCATACTATTTGAATGAATTACTTCGTAGCTTATTCATGTCAAAACTAACACTTCAAGTTTCTGACAACAATTTACTAGTCATGAATACATAAGTAGACTATCGCATCACACATATATTAGTTTTGGCACAATTTATAAATGATCAGTTCTAAAATCCTTTTTTTATATAAAAGTTCATACTTACGGATTGCTCCCATTTAAATTTTATCAAAATTAGTTTAGTAGTTTAGCTTTTAGATCAAAATAACTGGTTTTATCACAATTAAAGTTCGTTTTTTGTGGGATACAATTTTTTATTATGTTATTCATATCTATAATTTTTGAAACCAATATAATATTTTTGAAACTGTGTTTGTATTAAGTGTTGACTTATCATTTCGTCCACATAATAGGGATATTCGATATATTCTAATAGATTATGATAAAAAGTCTTATTTGCCTTTTTATACCAAATATTACGTGTATAGCTATATTTATGACAGTTGATTAAACTGTTTAAGTAAGTAATAACAAACATACAATCTTATTTTCATATTAAATAATATTAGAAAGGATGCTATTAACTTGATTCCCCTTCCTTTGTTATTATTATCGTTATTACCATTGCCAATAGTCGATCGAATACACCTGAATCGATTTATTGTAAGTACTCGTACCTACAGCCTACCTACAATAAAATATCGATTGCTATTACAGTTGTATTCTCTTATATCTAATAACTTATTGTGATAGATAAGGAAAGAAGTGATCGTAAGACTAAGAGTGATACAGAATGATATCGAAATAATACTTGCGCCTCGTGCTTTCTTTTTTTTAATGCAAGTCAGAATGGCAAACAAGCTAACGGCCCACCTGATGGAAAGTGGTAACCTATAGATATGAGAAGTAACATACACATAACAGAGTATACTGTTTCTACGCCCCTGATACCCCCTGGTATCAGGGGCGTATCAGGGGCGTATCAGGGGCCTTAGGAATGGCAACGCAGAGGGGTGCGTTGCCATTCCTAAGGACTTAGATGTTACTCTCTGTACCCTATAAATTCACTGACATATTTCACAGTTCACACCGAAACACAGCCATGCAAACACAACTGCTTCACGGTAGAAACACGACTAGGACAGTCTTGTTAGAATGTTGACTCTAAATTTTTTCTCGTTTTGCTTCTTCAAAGATCTTTTGTTTGTAAATACATGTAAGTATAAATGTGTATAAACTGAAATACTTCAGCGATTTTAATAATTTTACATTACATTGTCAGTGAGTAGAAAGTATATTTGCAAACTAAAATAAAATATTATATGTAGTTTCTGTCTAATAATATATATTTATCTAGAAAACTCTTTTAGTACTTCCTGATACTGAAAATTAATGAAAGAGTGTATTAATTTTCTCATAAATATTTTTGCTATGTATAATGGATTAAGAAATGATGAAGATATGGCGTAACATTATTTTATATCACAATTGTCCTTTTTTGGAGTCGATCAAAGATATAGTTTTTCGCGTAATCAATCCACTAGTATGAGGCTATGAGGTTAAAGGCCTCCATGGTTGCCATGGAGCACAGAGCGAAGCGGCGTCTGGGTGGCGGCGACGAAGATTACGACCGAATTATTATGTACTCGACAAAACGATTTCACCCTCATCTTATGTATATTAATACGACTATTATTACTGCTATTAAAATTAAGAAAGACGCGATAAATTTCGAAAGTATATACATGATATTTCTATATATATATGTACATTAGTAGCATTTTCCTCCAATTTCGTGAAAATTTCAGGACATAATTTCTAAGTGAATAAAGAGATTTCGGGTATTAATGAAAACTGTGTAAGTAGGTATTTAAAGTTTCAAATAATTTGCAAGTTGTATATATCATACATATATTTAATACTTAATTAATACTTATTACTTATTTAATAATGTGCCCCATAAAAAACCGACTTCAATTGTGACAAAACCAGTTATTTTGATTTAAAAACTAAATTACTGAACTGATTTTGATAAAATTTCTATGGAACTATATTTATCTGAATTATTATTTAATATTTATCTGAATTTAATTATTTTTTATCTTGAAGAATATATTTACATATATACATGATGTAAGTATATTCTTTTAGTTAAAAAATAATTTTGAACTAACGAAATTATGAGGTAATAAAGAAAATACAATCGAATTGAGAACCTCCTTCTTTTTGAAGTCGGTTGAAAATTACCTAATTGTTATTTTTCGACAAGTTCTTTTGCTATAGAATATATATGCCAATGATGAGGTTCTATAGATCTATCTTAGTTAGTTCAAGTGACGGGTATATTTTATTTATCGGAAAGACAGATAAATGTTCTTGTATATTTATTGTACATTGCACTAAAAATATATTGGGTTATTAATTTGATAGTATTGTAATAAAATTAAATACTGATTTTTAGAACATAAATATTTTATGTTTTATTTTAAATATTCATTATTCCAGGCCTTGGTAGAGAAAAAAGTACGTATTCCATTATCTGACTAAGATTATTATGAGTATGTGTAGTATGCATACAGACTGGAAATTATTGCTACCCTTTTAATGGAATATTCTAGTAAACACGAGCTTTTTTTCGAAGAAACACTTTTAGCCGTAATAATGTGGAAGGCCAAAAATTTTTTTCCCATTTTTTGTTCTTATAAGAAATATGTTCAATATTTGTTTCTTAGAGGTTTCTTCTATTGAAATTCACTAGTAAAACATTTTCTCAAATGAATGCTGATTAATGATTTAGATTTCACACTATATATGAAAATTCAACATTTTTTTATGGCAATACATTAAAATGAATTTCTAACGTAATGCTTTCTTGTTAATTTCGTATTATCGTCAAAAATTATATCCTAATGTGAAAGTTTGTAATGATGGACGGATGGATGAATGTTTGTTACTCTTTCAAGCAAAAACTACTGAACGGATTTGAATGAAATTTGGCACACTGATAGATAGGTAGGTTACATATATCCTAACTATTATAATTACTAACAAACACTTCTCCCCCTATGTACTAAACATAGGGGGAGAAGTGTTTGTTAGTAATGGGGATTAGTAGCCCCATTGCTAGCAATATTCCATATCAGGTCGACCTCGTGGTTCCCTGGATACCATCGTGATTGATTTATTGTTAGATTCGTCACGGTGGGCTAACTGACCTGCTTTATTCTCACCTATCATCCCTCACTGGTGCCCCGCAAGTGTATACCGATAGCGCAGGTGGGGTTACAATTCGATTATCATCCATTAAAAAAAAACTAAGTAAATAAGATACTTTATTCACTGATTCACGCGGGTGAAGACACGGGATATAGCTTCTTTTAAATACTATTGTAGGTAGAGCACAGATTTTGGAAAGTATTTGTTTAAAAACAAGACAATATGTTTGGTTTTCGAAAAAAAAGAGCTTTTAATGGATAATAATGAAATGGTAACTCCCACTACGCTATCGGAATCTCTAAATAAATTGACGGGGCACCAGTGAGAGATGGTCAGAGATTTGAAAGCAGTTCTGCTAGTCCATCCTGACAAATCCAACAAAAAATTAACCACGATGGTTTTAAAGGGGAACCGCGTGGTGGTCGACCTGAAAAGGTATAGTGCTAGTAATAGGACTATTCATCCACTTTACTGACAATCACTTCCACATCAAAAAAATGGTTAATTTATGTAAGAAGTAAAGTAAGTATTTAAGTTCACCTATTTATAAATTTATAAAATATTTATTATATTAATTTAAGAAATATTAACAGATAGTAAGAATTATGTATTTCGATTAAGTCGAAACTCCGAAATAGCGAACAAATTCTGTCAACGCTATCAAATATTAAAATCTAAATTTGAAAATTATTTTATATTCAGTTATGGCTAGATTAATTTTAATAAAATATGGTATCTACGCAAATGTACCATAATGATTAATTTACATATTTAATTTTTATTTTTAAATTGGGTAAGTGTAAACTTAAAGTTTAATTTTATTTGTACATGGGATACAGTTAATATATTTTAGTCAGTACAAAAAAGTTACCTACTTAAGTGTGTTACAACATAAATATTAATGTGATTGTTTGGAAAATTGCCAAACTCGATAACCTTTTCGGAGTTTTCATATAACCCTTATAATTTATATACACAATATATATATCACTTAAATATTATTTGTACATTTTAACCAGTTTTTTTTTTAATAAATATCTACAAAGACCACACTAATATAAAATTTAAATAAACATTTTATTTAAGTAATAAAAAATACTATTTGACTTACTTAATATTCTGTAAAAATTATTATCCAAATTATATGAGTAATTCGTTAGTTCACAATCACTCTCGACGGTTATTTTCTTCATATGGACGCGTTTTAATTTTGAACGATATTTGCGCGGGAAAATTTTTATTATGGCGATTGCGTATAAGCAGGCACGTCAGTGCTGTACAACTATTGGCGCTAGACTGGGTGGTTTTTGGCACACGAGGGCTTATCAACCCGATGTGCAGTGGTGCAATATATTACAGAGACATGAGCTGCATTGTTTATATGCAAGTATTTTTAGGTTACGTAGCCAAATGGCTGAAACGAAAGGAACCTTTTAAACTTGATCATGTTTTTATCAACATCACCGTTCCGTAAACATGTAAAAGCTCCTTTACTATCGCTTTTTTGCATTGTTAAATCATCAAAAAAATGTAAGGGATGATAAGTGAGAATGAAGCAGGTTGTTTGGCCCATCGTGATGATTTCATTAATAATAAACGATGGTTTCCAAAGGGAACCGCGTAGTGGTTGATCTAACAGGGTATATTGCTAGCAATGGGGCAGTTATACTCCATTATTAACAATCTCTTTAACGGATGGTTTCGGAAACTTAGATTATCATACAAATTAATCCACTACCGCTCATCAGTATTCATAATATCTATGTTTCTGTTATTGTTAGAAAGGTACACATATCTCATCCATTAGGTATTATTTGCATCAGAATTTCAATCGTTTCTAATTATTTTCCACGAAAATAAATCATGGCAATTTAAATTTAATAGAACTCCCAAAAAACATCCTTTTTATTTAAATACCATATTTTAGTGGATCACTAAATAGTGATTTATGTAGATAAGTGGTTTCCAACCCATTAAGTCTAAAGCGAGATTTTGCCTCCCTATGTGTGTTCCACATGTTTGTATAACGGATTATGTTGAGGAATGTTTGAAACAATGCTCACAGACACCTTTTATCATCGCACCGCTCGCCATCGACAAGGAATTCATCCTAAATGCGTTACCATTTACAGTGCAGTTTCAAAGGATTTTTCTACCACGCTGGCACGCAGGTTTCTTCAGGATCGGCAATGTGCACGTGATATTTCTAGTGTTGCTGTTGTCCATAGATAACAGTAACACTTTACCATCAGAATGGACTGTATGCTTGTTTCCCACCTTCGTGGTATGAATTCTTTTATTCTTCATAGGACCAGGACCAGTGGCTTTTGTGTAGTGGTATTGATTCAGCTAAGTCTATGGTGTAGGTTAAAAAATAGTTTTTCAGTGGCCCAAAATCTCTAAATTATTGCAATGTTCTAATATTTTTTTACCAGAAGTCCAGGAATCTCCTACTTTTTTATGAATTATCTCTTAAGGTTAAAGAAGTAAAAAAACATAATAAAATATAACGGTATTTATTTCATCTAAAAACTCTGCACTAATATAAATTATTGCACTAACAAAAACATTGTATTAATTAAAACCATGTTTTCTAATAGTAAAAATCAATAGATTTTTGGTGCAGAATTGGTAAAGCGTTTTTATAAGAATATTTGAAACGTCAATCATGCCCAAATTCATTTCACTCTTACTTATTCTTAAAATTACAAAAAGCTGAAAGACGATTCATAAATTCAATACAAGTACAATTTAAAGTTACACGTAGACAGAGAATAGAACACGCCCTCACTAAGAAGAGCGTGTTTTCCTAGACAAGTAGCAAATAAATTTATCGATAAACACGTTTTTACTGCTGCGTGTATAAGATCGAATGAGACAGCAGCATCCGGCGTCTTGTTCTTTCTTAAGCGTACTCTAGTGAATATAGATTCATTAGCCACTTGTCTAGAGCGATTGGGGCTCCGATATCTATGATAATACGTGATCATATTACAAGTACATTATCTTAATCTACATACTTGTGTCAACTTTAACAAACTCTGTCACATAAAAATACATACATGTGCAGATAAATTCAGGTTGAACACTTATCTATAATTTTTAATGGTATTTCGCTGCAAAATTAATGCATTTCTGAGCGCATCTACTTGCAGTTAGGGGTTATTATACCATTATATATTAATATATATGATCATATGTACATAAATTTTATTTCTAGTACTGCTTTATTTGGGACTAGATGATGCTGTGTGACATATCCAGGGCTATTTATCTATTATTAGGAGATCTAAGACTTATTTCTATTAATTTAGATGTAAGGTATACTGTTATCACGCGGTAATGGATGAACGGAATTCTGTTGAGGTGTAATATGATCTGCATTAATATATATGTATTATTTCTCTGTAAACACTTATCAACCAACAAGTACGAAAAGTCTTCGTAATTACAGGAAATAGAGTATATATAGAGATTATAGAGCAATAAGGACTAGATATAATAAAAGTATGAATGAAGACTAAGTATGGGTAAAACAAATGATTTCAAATATATTACATATTTTTCTGATACCATTCTATATTATTTATTATCAGAAATACGTACCTCAAGTATAAATAAATCTATTAAATTATAAAGATTGAAATATAATTAAAATTTAAAACAATTATAAAATTAATACTATGATAGTATTGCACTTTGTCATTCCTATCATGTTACCCTTATTCTCTATATCGACGTTTAAAAGTTTATCTGTTATAACGAAACCATATGGATAAAATATTTAGGTAGAACCGACAATCTTGTGGATCCTGTGGTTGCATGGATCTGACAGCTCTTAGTGATAAGGCCGCCCATTGTTTCCTCAGTGTAATATTTTCTTGTAATTGTTTATAATAAGTCTTATAGAGGAAATAATAAAGAATATCTATCTACAATAATAATAATAACGTCAGTAAGCTGAGGGAGGGCCAGTCTCTGTTTAATGCTAAATCAGTCGGGGCATATAAGCAACAGACACGGCTGTGAGAGCGTGCTTCTCGTTCATACGCAAATATATGGCATCATATCGTACAATAATTTGTGACAATCCTCCCAATGTAAGAGTCTGAAGGAAAGAATACATTTTGGCGACATTACCATATATTTAGAGTGTACAAGTGCCGTTTCTACCAATTCTATTCATTCTTATAACTGCATGTTATTTTTATTATGGAAACCCACCAGCTGTTCCCAATACACATATCTAGTAGGTATATCAATATTCGCTATTTTAAAAAATGATACTTTGCAATCGCGAGGAACGGTTATCATTTTAAAGAGGAAAAATATTTCGTACATAATTGCAACATTGCATTTAGATGATTTTTATTAAAATTGTAATTCTTGCGATAATCTAATATTTTAAACATGATTTTTATTGAGCGTGTTTACGTAAATACCTAATTAGAAGTAAAAAAAAAAAAACAATATCTGAGATCAATATAAACATATTAATAAGTAGATAAAAAAGTGAGATCTCGAATGCTGTTATTTTTTTTATTTTTCATAAAGATAAATATAGTATTAGGAACAGCTGTAAACAATACTAACAAAGTGTTGCTGGTTATTATAACAAGACTGATATTTTCCATGTATATATTTACTTGTTTATTCTATCATTAAATATTAATGTTATTATATATAGTTGGTAAAATCTAATTTAATTACATTTATTAATTTAGTACCTACAAAACGGTTTACCGTTTTTTCACGCTTCTCATTTGAAAACTGCATTTAAAATTCATTGCAGTTCAATTATGTCAACAGCAATTCTAAATTATATATATATATATATATATATATATATATATATTCATAGTACATAAATATATTAAAACTATTTAAAAACAGGCAAATTAATTTATATATTAAATAGACATAATAGAGTAGGTCAATGACCTCTGGAATGATTACTCAAACTATAATCTGTTTTTTATATTTGTCATATTTAGTAAATCTTGGCATTCTTTTTATCAATATAACAGTACAATTGGCAATGTAAAAGAGAGAAAACATAATGACATATATGTTAGAGCGAGATAAACAAGTAGGACACTTATTTACTTGTGTAAATCTCTTATTACGATGTAGTTAGAATGTTTTTTTTTTTTTTATTTACTAACATTATGAACGAATAATTACAATAAACGAGTTAAAATTATTACAAATATGTGAAGTTTCGCAACTTCTATTCCATATAAAATTGTAACTATCAAGTGCTCACATTCACCAAAAATGTACACTAGTGTAACTATTTTCTTATCTGTTTTTTGTGATGGCATTGCCAGTCTGTCAGTATGTAGTATGTTATACTTGTCCATGAATTGTCTGGTCCTCAAGTTAGGCTCAGTTAAGAGAAGTTAATTTACTAAATAGGCCGACAGAGAATCGAACCCACAACCTCGTCACGCAAAGTAAGTCACCACGATGGTCGTCAAATATATTTTTATTATAGATTACATTTAATTATTATTATGCATTATTATTTTTCAAACTCTTTTATTTTCACTGAATAATTTCGAAGACACGTCAAGTTTATTTACTAAATATTCAAAGTATAAAAAACAGATGTTATTACATACTTAATTATGTATTAATTCGAGTTTCCAATAATTCACTTAAAATAGCAAAAAATATAATTAAAGCACCCAAGATAGTACAAAGCTCTCTATTTGTGAAGATAATAATTATTATAAGTACATGATTTGATTGTTGATTTTCTGAATTGTTTACACAAATAGATATATATAAATAAATTGACACTACATTTAATAGCCAATACTCTATAGACAAATACATTAACAATAACATCAATTTCATAAACCCTTATTTACAAAGAGGATACTTTTTTATAAGGGTTACACATTTTAACATGTTTTAAAAAAAATATAAGTAATTTGTATTTTGGTGTAACTGTTGTGTTAATATATAAATTAACACCAGAAGGATTAATATTAAGTTAGAGTTATGGGTCCATTTTTTTTTTTAATAACTATAATTAAAAAAAAAAATTTAAATTACTTTGCTTGAATTCCGAAGTTACCAATTTTATAGGAATTTAAAAAGTCTACTATAAATGGAAAATGTTCACATATATCAACTTTTTTAATTTGATAATTTTCTTGAAATTACTATTTTATGGAGCGTAATAAACTAAAATTGTAATAATTTCACTTAAATATATTAGAAAATTAGTTCATATTGGTAAATTCAATAAAGAATTAGCTGTGATATCAAATTGAAACTTTATTTTTAGAGATACGTTTAAAGCAATGACTCCTCAGAATCGACCCTGTTGTGTCCTAGAGTATTGGCATATTTCTTCAATATGATTTTGCCTTGTGACTGATAATTTATTTATTATTCATACATTAAAATTCAGGACGGTCAAAGTAGCGATGATTAACTGCTACTACATCTGTTTGTTTCACACTATTGCGAGACATGTTTTAAACATAGATAAGATAGATGTCTAGAGTATTCTTACGTTTCTAGTGCGAATGTTTTTGCAGTTGATTTTTATATTAAAATGCTAAAATAGACTTTATTGTAAAGTATTTTAGGTGGTTCAAATAATTGATTTTTTAATGTTCAGTTTAGATTATAAACCAACTTACTTCAAATGCTTTAGTAGTACTTTAATAAAAATGTCTTATGCATACAATTCTTTTGAAGTAAGTTTAAACTTATAATGTGTAATAGGTAATTATAATCGGACAATAAAATTATAAATTATATATGTATATAGGAAAAATAAACATACAAAGTAAAGACTAGCATATACCATACAATAAGTCATGCAAAATCCAAACAATGCCAACATTATTTACAATAGAGACCATTTTCGTATGTATACAATTATAAAACCAGCTACAACATGAAAACATTTAGCAAGAATGAATTCAAGAGTATGTGCTCGCGTACTACAATACCTTGACCAATAGTACAGTGACCACCTAAAGTAATAACTTCTTTTCACACATATCAAGCGATTTCCTGATATTAATAATAATAATAATAATAATAATAATAAACAGATTTATTTCTCTTCACAATTCATTTATCTGATCTATAGAACTATTTCTTGGATTTTCAACTTTATCGAGCAGAATTCAAGAACAATTTTATTTAGCAGAACGTTATTATATCCATCTCAACTGAATATTTCAAATGATAGATGTGCAGAAGATTTTCATCTCTACTATTTACGAATATTTTAATGGGTTGATAGAGTGTTGATCAAATGGTTTTACTAATAATTAAAAGATGAAAATTGTGTTTACATAATGCTTACAATATAGTATATCACACAAAGTTGAGATATTAGTGAATGACTGAAACTAGGTCATGACCAATTAAGAATATTTAAAGCTTCTGTGGTCAGAATTACAACTGAGCGTCACCATAGTATCGGTGTCATAGTACGCGATGTATCTTAAACATTCACCTTACGACTAACACATCTAGACTAACAAACAGATACAAGATCCATTCTTTTCTTACACAACCACGCAACATAACACGTTGTATGGAGAGAGTGAGACAGAAAGCTGTGTTAATTAGTAGAAGAACAACAGTCGCTCTTGAGCAGTGCCGGAGAGTAGACGCCAACCGCGCTTGATGTTTAAATATTGGATGATGGCACGAACGCAGATTAAAATCCCTATAGTAAACATTTCATTTATTAAATAATCTCTCAAATAAAAATATTATAAACGTGATAAATTATTGGCTGTGTTGCATGATATAAGTAACATTCACTTATTTAAGAAAAGGCTTTAAAGCTATCAAAATATTTTATTTTGTGGCATATTTTTAAATGATGAAAATACGGGATACGTTTCCGATTTGCTGGTGCCCCTTCATGTTTTGAGGAAAAAAAAACTTTATAATATTTTATAAGCTAAGAAGGTTGATAATAGAGGACCACATTGTATATTATCACCGCATCATATGTATGTACCTATTATTTACAAAATAAATGATTGATTGAAAATGAATAATATCAGTAGCCTCTTGGCGCCTTAACGGTTCCACCTACCGTCATGAAATTTGGAATAAAAAAAGACACACGTTATTTGTTCCGATCAAGCAACATATCGTCATAGCCGTAGAATACTGACGGATCTATATAGGTAATATTTGTCAGATCCGTCAGTATTCTACGACTATGACGATATATCCACCACGCGGATAAAAATTAATATCACACTCAATATCAATTAGTAGCCATTAGTGTCAATGGTGCGCTACTATAAATTTTAAATTTTTGTGGATTAATATTCTAACATGGAACAAGTTCATTTATTGTTACACTCAGGTCATTCGCCCAAAACTCTGCAATGAAGGTTGATTAACCTCATTAATTATATAGAACCGACTAACTAGAGCAATAGAGATGTAACAATTTACGTTATAGATACGAATTGTTAGTTAATAAGTAGTATTGTGAAAATTAAATTGATCGGCACTATATTTAGGGCAATAACCTGTTGACGCGTCACATTTGCTACATGACGTTTATAATAATTCATAGATTAGATTGTGAATTAAATATATCTAATTTCTTTTTTTTTTTTAACTGAAAGGAGTATGTACATGTTAGAATCCAAGAAAGTACTTTTCGTTTATTCTCAAAAAAGGCACTAAATAGAGAAGCTGTTTTGGAATAGGTTCTTATTATAAACATCTATTTGCATTATATATTTATAATTATATATTTGCATTCAGCAAATAAAATACCTACTATAAACGTGTAATTAAAGATAGAGAATAAAGAACTAATAAATATTCAAACAACTCATCAAGTATCGTGTTAATGTAATTTAAGTGTAATGTATCTGTTTATTCTTGTGTGGTTACGGATGATAATTAAAGCTTGTGCTCCACAAATTCACAATTGTGACAAAATTAGTAATTTGGTCTAAAAATTAAAACACTGAACTGATTTTGATAAAATTTCCATGGGGCTAATCTGTAAGTATGACCTTTTAGATAAAAAAAAATACTTTTCCAAATCCGTTTAGAACTGATATTGTTATGAGGTAACAAACATAAAAAAAACAACCAAATTGACAAACTCCTTTTTTTAAGTCAGTCAAAAATATACAATGAAGCAAACTCTTTTATCTCTTGGATATCGTAAGAGGTGACTATGAAAACAAAACATAATAGGAAAGGGCAAGAGCAGCGAAACTTGAAATAAAACCATATACTAAATCGCTTTGCCAGTAGAGTTATATTAGGTTTAAAACTATAGAGACAATAACAGAATTGATGTTACTAACCAAATGCCATGATAAGCCACCACAGCCAGGAGTTCTCGTGGGATGCGAGTTCAGTGGAATGCTTCACGATGAGCGTCCACTTGGCGAGCGATAGGCCGAAGCCGGCAAGTGCACCGTAGCGGCTCGCAACCGTGTGACAGAAGCACATCAGCAGCAAGAAGCCGATCCAGTTAAACAGGAATGCCACTGATGAATCAACATTACTTATAAGGGGCTGCACAGACATGACAATATTTTTGGTGTACTTTTTTCCTCATCAAGATATAATCAATGTTATTCATTAGAGTGTGCAGAAAAGGGCAAATCTGCGGCGCAATTTTTGTCACACATTTTGTCTCACTTAAAACTCATTGAACTGTATTTAATGGATAGGGATTTGTGGCAGGAAACTGAGAAAATAATTTTGTGCAGGTTCTTATACTTTTCAGTATTTTTTATTACAAGTACCTTTCTATAAAGTTGCAGATTAACAGAAAAAAAAAATAGTATAAAAGGCTATTAGATACACAAATAAAATTAATCTATGGTAATTTTTTTTATTAGGCTGTCTGTCTGCTTGTTTGCCATTGTTGTATATAAAAAAATATGTATTATTATCATATTAATTAACATCAAGCTGATACAAGTTAAGAAATCATAAACCTTTATCAGTTGTATCTGGTATAAACAAGTATATAAGAGTAGGTTTACCAAAGAATGAAGTCAAAAACATAATATCTGTGCCGAGAAGACTATTCTCTGGATCCAACTGTTCGGCGCTCCCTTCTGTAGGCTCTACTGTCACAAAAGCGAATGTCGGGTGGTGGGGTGGAGGACCCTGTAACTGTAAACATTTTTTTATTAAATGTATGTTACACTGTATGTTTGTGTGTCACAACCAAAATTCTTATAATTTTATTATTCATTATCTATTAATATACCAACCACCTTTTGTACTTCTGATTGACTATAATTTTTGTCTTTTATTAATCAGTATTGATGGTGATAATATATAAGGAAAATTATGTCCATTGGTGAAAAAAATACTTGTTTTAATTGTTAACAAAGGACCAAAAGTGTATAACAATTTTCTATTGATTAATTGTACAATATAGGCTATGTGGGCTTAAAAATATGAAATGTTTAATAAACTTATTTCAACTATTGAAGTGTTTTCTTTTTTGTGCAAATTCTTAATTTAAATGAAAGTGAAAAACAATCTAAAAGATTTACACGGTTTATCTGGGAGTATACCTGTGATATTGTAAATCTGATATGTCTGAATGAAAGGCTATTTTATTTATTATTATACCTGTGGTGGTCCTTCACCCTCCATTTGTTTCTCACGCTGCACCTCTTCATAGGTGGGCAATTTTGAATTAGTTGCCACATCATAAGGAGGCGGCGCTGAAAAATCAGCCTGAGGTGGTGGTATATCTTGCAAATTATCTGTAATTATGTGAAATAATTTATAATAACAATATAAGGTGAGAAGTCAATCAAACTTTTGGGATTCGGTCGGCGGGTCACATCAGTTGTATGGGTTTCAATATGCGGGCAAAAATTTCCACTCTGTGGATGCCTATAGATGGACAGGGTCACTAAAGTTGGTGCAGGATGCAATAGAATGAGTATGATGTAGACATATTTAAAAGGGATTGATGTAAGGTGGCACACAACAGGAACTTTTGGAAAGAGAAACCTATACTCAACAGTGGGACAACATTATGGGTTAATAATAGACATAATCATATTTGTTTTCAAGCATAACTTATTACAATATAATTGTCAACAATATGATACGATATGATAAGTTGTGACTAGCATATAAATTGGGCAGCAAGCTATGTACCCATAATGAATTTTAATGAAAAGAAGACAATGATTTTAAAATGAATAAAAATATAAAGACATAAAAAGGTATTTTTATTACACTATTAATTAAGAATTATGAAAATTATCACTTTTTTCCCATTATCCCTTTTTAAAGAAAATTCATTATGTATATTGACACTATGTATTATTTATATTTCCATACATAAGAAAAGCTATTTGAACAGGATTACTTGTTTTCACAAAAAGTATGACATTTATAAATTTTGTTTATAATTAATTCCTAAAAAATGATTTAGTAATATTAAATATGAATAGTGTGAATCCATTACTCAGTTTTAGAGACAGAGCATGGCATTTTACAATCAACTCTAGTGTTTAGAAGCAATTTGCCTGGAAAACTCATACTCTTCATTTATTTGTATAAATTTTATAATCTATTAATTTGGAGACCAGACCTTTATTATTGTTCCCTATATTAAATAAGACAATTTTCTTATAGTTCAGGTAATTCAACAAGTATGATAATAATTTATATAAGAATAATATTACATTAAATGAACATGTTTCCACACCACAATAGTATATAATATTATTCATTAATGTAAATTCTTATTTATAAGCTATTATATTATATATTTATATAGAGTCAGTTATAGGTATCATTAGTTCTTCTTACTACACACTCAGGATTATGACTATAAGAGGACTCCCTTATTTAAAACAATTACAATATAAAAATCTGTTTACTATTTACAGTGTTTAGTCATTTTTATTAAAATTGAGAATTTTTATGCAAAAGAGACAATACTGCAGTACCTAAAATAAGTTTATTAGATTTATTTTTGTGAATAAATAAGGCAGACAGACTTTCCACACAGTATGATTTATAATCAACCATAAAGATGACTGTAGGGCCTAAATTTAGTCCCTCAAGTTTTTCTTCAATAAGACATTGATTTCAAAATGTACAGCAGAAATATTTAAATAAGCACTGACAGACATTTATCCTTTACAATGTTTAGTAATTTCTAATTCTTAAATTGCCAGGATAATCGATGACAATAGATAAATATTGTACCTTCTTAAAATATATAACTACTCACTAATGTCAATAAACGGCGGAGGCATATTGGTGTCAATAGAATTAGGAAGTATCACTCTCAGGTGTGCAGAAGGACATATATTATCAACTCGAGGATGGTTCTGCAAAAATAATAATTTATTCACGTCTCAATCAAGGAAAATAGTTATATAAATAAACATTATAATAAGTGCTACTACGTACCATGTTTGCAGCGTAGCAAATGTAATGCCACCAACAAACACAATATAATTATATATCACGTATATGTTTCCACAATTTGTTAGTTAGTCTTTTCTAGTAATCTAGATACAATTCAATAATGGTCTGTACATGGCTCAAGGTTTCATTTATTTGATTTATTCAAGCAAACGGACGGACGCACCCGTAAAACAATACAGAGTTGACATTTATTTGACACTAGACATTTTATTTTTCTACACTCATTGTTTCGTTTCAATTAATAACAAAGATAGTGAATTATAATTATTGAAAGTTCTGCTGCTACAGATTGCCTATATATTTAATTCAATACCTATTTTTTTCACTTCAACTTTAATTGAACTATCTATTATTAAAACTTGTTCGTAATTAAAGATGAAAGAAGATTGTGCAGTACATTATTATATTGCTCTGTACTTTAAGTTTTTTTTTATTGTATGATATTAAAATTTGATTAAAATGTGCATTTATTGTTTATTTTTTTATTCCAAAATCTTTGATAGGTACAATCCTTAAAAAGGAATATAATGCTTTTTATCTAAAGATTAAATGTATTATAACATATTAAGTTATGTCAATGTTTTTGACCATCTATGGCACAGTTTTACATAAAAATGTCAAATTTGGTCATGCTCTGTCATTTTCACTTTATTTCATTCAATCGTTTCTTCTCTTTTTTGTGTAGTTAAATGAGGCGATGAGTTGTTTTGTATATTTATTTTAGACTAGCCTAAATTAAAATATTTTATAAAAATGAAAACGGCTCTTATGGTGGCAGAAAAGCCATCGTTAGCCCAGAATCTTGCTACTATACTTAGTAATGGCAAATGTACAACCAATAAAGGTATGTTTTCAAGTAAATTCATCAAAAAAACTTTTGTTTTTAGTACCTAAAATTTATAGAATAATTAATGTATCTTTACGGCAATTTTCTTACGGGGCAAGTAGAAAGAATTAAGGGCTGTCATTCTCTTTATATGATCTTTTGTTTCACCTACATTTATACTCTTCTCATGCTTGCACGCCGGTTCCAGACTATAGAATAAATTTAATCTTAAATAATATTTTATTAAAGGTTCGAACTCTGCTTGTGCTGTACATGAATGGAACGGGACATTTAAAAATGAACCAGTACGTTTTAAAATGACGTCTGTATGTGGACATGTAATGAGTTTAGATTTCACGGGTAAATACAATAATTGGGACAAAGTTGATCCTGTCGAGTTGTTTAGCTGTCCGACAGAGAAGAAGGAAGCTATGCCTCGTTTGAGAATACCAGCGTTTTTATCGCAAGAAGCAAGAGGTTGTGATTACCTTGTATTATGGCTTGATTGTGATAAAGAAGGGGAAAATATATGCTTTGAGGTATTTCATTGTATTTTAAACTAATTGCAATCTACATGTTGGACTAAGGATAAAAATTATAGTCTATCCTTATATAAAATTTCATTCTAATTTGTTTAGCCTTTAAATGAAATTAATAGACTATCCTCTTATAAAAACTAAAACCTACTATAAACATATTTTAGCTATTGACCTGTTTTGTCACTTTTTTTCAAATTGGAAATGTAGTATAAAAGATAGAGACACAATAGTTCATTAGCTAAAGTAGGTTTAAGAGGTATTTGATGTTTTTATGAATAAGATTGATAAACCACACTGTATGTGTTGTAGCATAGTACTGATGAAGACACATATTGTATCATGTTTTACAGTTAATTAATTAAAATAAATTTTATTTTAGGAGTCAAAATTCATCTAATAATCATAACTGGTATATATACTGAATAATTACTTAATTTGAAATTATTCTCATTTCAGGTTATGAACTGCGTTCAGTCCTATATGAAAGGGGATGTCTATACATCTCAAGTTACATATCGCGCTCATTTCTCTGCTATTACAGAAAAGGATATCAAAGCTGCCATGCTTAACCTTGGTCGTCCCAATGAGAATGAATCTCGAAGTGTTGATGCTCGGCAGGAGCTTGATTTACGAATTGGATGTGCATTCACTCGGTTTCAGACTAAGTACTTTCAAGGTAAAGGCATAATTAATAATCTGTTGGAAAAATTTTTTTTTGAGAGGATATAATGTTGCTCTACCTATACATAGATCATTGATTACATAAATTTTACTATATGATTTTTAATTAAATTTAGTACAGGATAAAGGGCAAACAGTGCTCCAAACTCTTTGATATGTCCTCAATAATTACATGACAGTTAAAGATGTAGGAAATAGTTCTTTATAGTGCAGTTATACCTTAAATACTTTATCCACATTAACAATTTTTTTTGGAAGTAATAAACTTAGAGTTAAGCATACTAGGAAAGGGACTATAAAATATAATGTACAAGTATTAAAAAAAATAATCTACAAATGCTGCTGTATAAGAAATATGCAAATATAGTTCATATATATAAGTTAATTAAAATAAAGTTTAATTAAATTATTTATTATATATAGTATTTTTGGACAACATCACTTCAAAATTGTTACCATAATTATATAAAAAGGAGAATATTTTGTATATATAATAAGTGCCATTTGATTTTAGGCAGATATGGTGATCTGGATGCTTCACTTATATCTTATGGTCCATGTCAGACACCAACCCTTGGATTTTGTGTACAACGACATGATGAGATACAAACTTTTAAGCCTGAGACCTACTGGGTGCTTAGAGTAACAGCTTCCACATCTGAGGGAAGGGAACTGCCTCTAGAGTGGAAGAGAGTTCGAAGTTTTGAAAAAGATATAGCTAATATGTTCCTGGCTGGAATAAAAGAAATTAAAGAAGCCACGTAAGTTTAAGAATAATATTTCATACAAATGAATATTAATTTGTATATGTATAGTATATAAATTATATACTTACAAAGTCCAGGGTTGTTATTATAGAAATGTGATTAAAAGAAGTTGATTTTATATTTTCTATTTTTTTTTAGTAAAATACCAGTTTATTTAATAATTCTAGGAAAAAGAGAATGCCATACCACATTAACTTTTATTTTGCAATAAAAAATAAATATATAATTAATAAAAAATAAATCATCTTGTCATTTTATAAATAAATCATCAACATTCAATTATTTATTCAAATAGAAATTTATAAATGAACAAATTGATGGTTTTTATATTACTTATTTGATGTGTTAATGCATATAATTTGTTTTTAAAGGACATGTTAAGCTTGTTTATTACTAAATATGTCATATATGTATAATACCAATGTGAATCATCTAAAAAAATATGAATCTTGACATATAGCAGTTTTGGTTCCTCAGTTTAGTTACACATAAGATTTTGTATTATTTGCAGAGTTACCAATATACAGGCAAAAGAGAAAGTGAAGCCTCGACCAGCTGCTTTAAATACAGTGGAGCTGATGAGAGTGGCCAGTGCAGGGTTGGGTATGGGTCCCCACCATGCTATGCAGGTTTGTATATTGTAGTTTTTACTCATTATTTTATCTATGTGACTAGATATGTTCACAAACCTGAATAAAAAACAGTCTATGTCCTTTTTCCACTCTATGCAGCAAATGTTTGTTAAATTTAAAGAGTGATTGATTAAACTATTAAAATGCTAAGAGATAAAAAACAAACTAACAACAAATAAATATACTCTTACATTTATAAGATTTGGTTAAATTGTCAATTCTGATTCCTTGAAAGAGTTAGCAGTTATTACAGGCAAATTGAATATTGTAAAAGAAGCCTATAAAAAATATTTTTCCCAGAGAAATTTGCATGGGAATCTCTTAGCTTTTTTTTGTTTGTCAACCCATGTTTGCATGAATTTAGTTTCAGTCATAGACAGAAGAACACTCCTTTAAGAGGATACTTTTTCGCAAAGGATGATCTGATATCAATATCAATTTTAACATGTATAATTTGACTTCAAATTTAATTAGCAAAAGTATGGTTCTTAATATTATTGAAAATGGAAAAAGGATAGTGGAAACTGTTGTACTAAGAATAACAAGTAAGAAGGACATAATGTGCTTTTGGCATCCATGAGTTTGTTATAGTGCTCTAGTGAAATCACTGGTTTATCCATGTCCTTGAACTGAACTTGGCTTTATTGTGAGAAGTCAGATGCCAAACAATAAGATTTTATGCACCTACCTTAATTTATTTTTTCATTTACAGATTGCAGAGCGTCTATACACGCAAGGTTACATATCATATCCACGTACAGAAACAACTAGCTACTCTGAAAATTTCGATTTGATGTAAGTAATGTTTTTTATGATTGACTCATTATTATTATTTTGTTTTATTTTCAGCCGACGTTTTTTCACGATTGAAGTCAATTTTATTTTGTGATACACAATCTTATATAATTATTTCTTTTACTTTCAAAATCAAAATGAATCTAAACGGTTCTTTTTTATATTGTTATTATTTTATGATAAATATTGCTAAAATGTTAACTGTAAATCACATCATGCTACAAACAATATATTAAGTTTTTTTTAAATGGGTGATAATGGAGTGGTAACCGTACCTGAGCTATCGGTTTACGCTGGCGGGTTACCTATATACCTGATAGACAAGGACAAAAGTAGATCAGTTAGCTCATCGTGACGAATTCCACATTATTAGTAATTCTAATTTCCAAGAAGGTTTCCAGGCGGAGTCGCGTGGACGTTGACCTTGTCCTGATAGGGTGTACCTATTGCTAACAATTGAGGTGTCAAATTTCTATTACTAACAATCCCTTCTTCCCAATATATAAAGTTTTATGTATTATATTTATATTCGGTTTCAGTGGCACACTTCGTCAGCAGCAAAACTCTACGAAATGGGGCGCGGAGGTGCGCGCGCTTATCGCAAATGGAATAAACAAACCCAAGAAGGGCCACGACGCCGGTGACCATCCTCCTATCACACCTATGAGGCCAGCTTGTTAGTATTATAATAGCATAATATCCCTCCACTAAAGTCTGCGAGTATAAAATTTTCAATGTATATTTATATGTTCATTAGTTGACCCGTTAATCATTGCTTTGTCTCCTAATTTATCAACTAAATTTAATTATATTCTAAGTCGGAACAGCAACCACTATACAATTATAAATAATCGTGAATAAAGGATATGACACGAGATCTATGTGTGAGATGTAGCACTGTACTTACATAAAGAATATGCAAGTGATCCGGGACTGTTCCTTATGGCAGTTTATGGGAAAGGCTTTTTTAGCAGAGGACAATTAATGGCTGATATGATGATGATGGTGATGAAAGAGTATGTGGCGGATTTAACACCTAGCAGTGCTATTTACTTGTCGCTTATGAATAGTGTAGAGAATTTATTTCATAAATGTGAACATGAATAACTTTTGAAAGATTGAGGATATCTTCTGTATAATAAATTTTATGGTGTAGTCTTAAAAATATATTTATTAATGTATTAGACCCGAGTAAACCGTAATATATCTTTTTTGAAGAATTCCATACTGTAGATTCTATGTAAAACCTTGGCAGGACGCTTATTTCACAGCATGAGCGTTTGCGATAGAAAACTTCTCTGAAACTGTACTGTACGCGATCTTTTAGGTTTTAATGTGTGAGGATGAATTTGCTATCGATGGTGAGTGATGCGATGATAAAAGGTGGCTCTGGGCATAATGACGAATAATTTTCAAAACGTAATCCGCTATACAAGAGGTGAAAAACACAAAGGGAGGCAGTCCCGCCTTAGACTAAACGCTTTCCACTCCAAGCCATTTTTTCTTTTTATCCTACCAGTTCCACGCTAAAATTGCGTCCGCAAAAAGAAGTATTACACTATGTCGAGTGTCACTCGACAGTCCACTGTCGAGTGACACTCGACACTGGTGGAACAAAATCAACAAAAAAGGAGTGGAAAGGGTTTGTAAGGGTTCGATCCTCTTACAAATGTAAAAGTATAAGTAATTATAACTAATAATAATATTCTATACTAGATGTCTCCCCACTATTTGAGGTTGACCGTCAACATATCGAATAGAAAAATATCAAAATTTTGTAATAAATTTAACAGCCGAGAGTGAACTAGAGGGCGACATGTGGCGTATCTACGACTACGTGACGCGACATTTCATCGCAACGCTGTCGCGCGACTGCAAGTACCTCAGCACGACCATCACCTTCCAAATAGGCACCGAGACCTTCTACTATACCGGGAACACGCTAGTCGATGCCGGCTATACTGAGATTATGCATTGGCAGGTTAGTTTTTTAATTTTTTTATGCAATTTGGATGATACGGCAAATAAATTAATGGTCCACCCGATGGAAAGTGGTATCCGTCATCTACAGACATGAATAGCACCACGACGTCACAGAAAACACTGTGATACCACTCATGCATTTCTATTCTTTAGGACTAAGATGCCTCTGCATCCTATAATTTCTTTGTATATAACCTGTTCTTCAAGTTGAAACACTTGAGCACTCGACATTCGAGTACAGATGTCAGCAACACGTGTATGACAATATTTATTATTATTATTGTTTATCACAGATACAGTACATTTAGCACGAAATATATTTATAATATTGTTTATATCCCATGTGGTCCCGACATTCCACCAAATTGGCCATCCCTTTCTTTCCCGTGAGTGCCGTAAGAAGCGATTAATAAGGGGGGGGGGGGCGAGGGCTGGGCAACAGCGTCAATCTTAAAACATCTCCAAAATGTAACTGCGTTACCAATTTGCCTGCCAAGCGCGGCAATTACTGGCAAAACCCTCCTAGAGGGAGGCTTATGTTCAGCAGTGTATGTATTATACTGAATATTTTAGTAGAGCAGTTAGTTTATTTTTATTGTATAGTTTTTTGTAATCACTGAATGAGGAAGTTTGTGACGTATGGGGCAGGCATTCGGCAAGGACGAGTTCGTGCCGCCGCTTCAAGTGGACGACATACTGCGCGCCCACGACCATCGACTGGTGGAGTGTCAGACCTCGCCGCCGGACTATCTCACCGAGTCAGAGGTCAGATGTAATATAATTTGCTGGAAGTACAGTATAATGTGTGAAATAGAGAGGAATATATTATAAGAGAGACAGATTCTATCTGAATACATGTGGTATGTTGTATTCGATGGAAATAATTATTACATCTATAAATACAAAAATAAGACCACCATTGTTTGTGGATTTGGTTTAAGTATTGAGTAATATTTATCTACCTTTATATCCGGTTCCTTACAGAGTAGGTGTAGTTGTAGTAAATTAAGTACAGTAGATTTGTGTTCATATATTCCTTTCTTCATCCTCACATATCTTCTTTAAACATTTATATAGCTTGTCTCAAGCATACATACTTTTGTACAAAGTCTCCCTCTGGTAATGGAGAAATATTGAAATCTATATCACATACACGAGTCCTTTGCGGGTTGAGCATAGTTCATACTTAGCTTTATGTATACACTTAAATTCCCGAGACTCTTCATTAAATTCTAACTGTAACTACAGGTGATAACGTTGATGGAGAAGCATGGTATAGGCACGGACGCGTCCATTCCAGTGCACATCAACAATATCTGCCAGCGGAATTACGTGACGGTGGGTAGCGGGCGTCGACTCGTGCCCACCAACCTTGGGATTGTGCTCGTACACGGATATCAAAAGGTGAGTGTAGAAATAATTGTGAAATACAATTTCTACATATGTCTTGTGCGAAATAGATTGTTATAAAATAAATGAATTTATCACTAACCTAATGTAATTATCTTCTTCTTTTCATTTAAGAGTTTCCTCTTGTCGGTGCAACTAATTCATGCATCTTCCTCCAGCCAGCTCTATCCCAGGCCATATCCTTTATCTCCCTATACGACATGACGCCTAGTGTTTCCTTTATCTGTCCCATGTAGTTATTCCTCGATCTTCCTCTTCCTCTTTTGCCCTTATATATATATAATGTAGTTATATATAAAGAAAAAAAAATAGAATTATAAACTTCCAAAATATTTATAATATATTTTATTTTTTTAAAATGCCATTTTAAAGGTAAAAAATGTCTATAGCATTAAGTCCGGTCAATAAAGTTTAAAAAGTTAAGTAAAACTATCTAAGTAACCTGATCAGGTAATCGGAGATATTTGACGACTGTTACGTAATTATTAGAACGTAAGAATCGACATATCCACATTTCACTATTGTCAAAAATAAAATATAATAATTTAAAAAAAATACTTTTAAAATATATCAAAATCTTTTTTTTAATTATTACCTATTGAGTGATTGAAATAATTCGAAACCGGCGGGACTAAGGATGTCTAAGTTTCTATTTTTATAATATTTTCTCTAGATCGATCCAGAACTGGTATTGCCGACAATGCGTTCAGCCGTTGAAGAACAATTGAATCTTATAGCTGTCGGCCGGGCGGACTTCCACGCTGTGTTAGCGCACACAACTGAGATATTCCGTAGAAAGTTCCAGTACTTTGTACGCTCCATAGAAGCGATGGACCAGTTGTTCGAAGTTAGCTTCTCGTCTTTGAAGGCTAGTGGCAAAGCGCTGTCTCGATGCGGGAAATGTCGGCGGTACATGCGATACATTCAAGTAAGTTAATATATTGGCTACGATGTTTTCTTACTATGATAAAGTTTTATATACCTTTTATGAACTAAACCTTTAGAAAAACTAACAGTTTAATTTACGTGTAACTAGATCAAAAAAGAGATCGATTAGTTTCAGGATCAAGTCGTGATTTTGAGTCATGAGCGGCTGTGACTCGAGCGTGACTCTGACTAGTTATTACATTAAAATTATAATGTGTGCTTACGAAACTTTTCGCAAGAAAAATATTATACAATTAAACTTTAATTATAAGCATTTTTTAATATTCAAACTAGATTCTTAATAAAAATATTTTACGAAACTAGTTTGGAATGCAATTTCAGTTAAGAAGAATAGGCAAGAAACTCAGTTGTTTTATTTAATTTATTGAATTCTAAATGAACGAAATAAATCAATAATTTATAATAGACAAAAGTAATTACATTTTTTGATAATATAATTTTTGTTATTATTTATAGGCAAAGCCAGCTCGCCTGCATTGTTCCCACTGCGACGACACGTACGGACTACCACAGAATGGTACTGTTCGTATCTATCGGGAACTCAAGTGTCCACTTGACGACTTCGAGCTTCTATCCTGGTCCTCGGGCAACAAAGGGAAGAGCTTCCCCCTCTGTCCGTACTGCTACAATCACCCACCGTTCAGGTAAGAACTAATATTTCCAGGTTAGTATTAATATTTATTTAGAGACATGTGGCATATATAACAATTGTGCTGGCAGTTTTTTTCTTAATTTATATATAAATTGCTGGATCTATTTAGTAATTTTTTTTTCATATATTCTTTTTTGTCTGAGGAATGTTCTTAGGAAGATAAAAATTATCTAGAATAATATAAAATCCCAATTTTTCTTTAAGTATCTGATTGGGATGTATATATTATGAATGTGATTATAAGAGTAATGAAAGCTCAGTCAATCAAAACTTGACTGTGATCCAAAGGGCAGAAGATTAATATCTGATTAAAACTCAGATTATTTCTAATTCATATTTGAATCATTTAAAAATTATTGTCACATGCTTCGTGCTTTAGAGGACACGTAAAAGCATAGAAATCAAACTCTATATCAGAGGGTGCTGCACTCATATGAGTATTTTCAATATATTTTTTTTTGTGATTTAATATATCTTTGTTTTTAGGGATATGAAGAAAGGCTTCGGCTGCAACTCGTGCACCCACCCCACGTGCCCGTACGGTGTAAACTCGACCGGTGTATCCGGCTGTGTCGAGTGTGAGGCGGGCGTCCTTGTATTAGACCCTGCTGCGCCCAAGTGGAAGCTAGCCTGCAACCGGTCTGTCACTATCATATACTTACATATTTTAATAAAATACATATTTATTTATATTATTATTTAAGACTCTAGATGAGGCCTTTGTCTTCGGATAAGAAAGGGTTGACAAAACAGTTACTGATTAAATATTAATTTTATTGTATTGTTTACTATGTTACTGCTTTAATAAAATCTTATATTATTATTATACCTATATATTTCTCTTTATATAAGATTTCTGATGGGGAAGTTAAAGGGGATGTCTATTAACCTTGCATCTTTCAGTTTGTTCAATTTCGTAATATTTTTTAATTGTTAAGAAAATATGAATGAACTTATTGGTAAATGATGCGTTTTATGTAATTTTCGTGCGTGTGTACACACAGGTGCGACGTGATAATCAACATCTTCGAGGACGCGTCGCGCGTGACTGTTTGCGAGCAGCAGTGCAGCGCGTGCGGCGCCCAGCTGGTCAGCGTGGAGTACCGCGCCGACCGCACGCGCCTGCCCGCCGCGCTCACCGAGATGACCGCCTGCCTCTACTGCGAGCCCAGCTTCAGTGCACTCGTGAGTCCGCCCCTCTACTCTCCAGTGGCAGCAGTCAGTAGTTGTAGCGTGCAGCTCGTCAGTGATAAATACAGATCAGAGTATATGACCCACTGTAAACTTGCAGTAACACTTGTACAAAAGTTGTTTGCGTGGATACCTCTGTCCCATTCGTGTTTCAACCGTGAAGCAGTTATGTTTGCATGGCTGTGTTTCTGTTTGAAGGGTGGGATATGGTGTGAATTTACAGGGTACGAAGGCATAACACCTGAGTCCTTAGGAATGGCAACGCATGGGGGGTATCATGGGCGAAACGGTATACTCTATAAATGTCCATGGTACTACCCATGTCTATAGGCGACGGTTACCACTTTCCATCAGGTGGGCCGTCAGCTGGTTTGCCATTCTAATTTGTATATAAAAAAAAACATACTTCTTTTTGTTAGTTGGCGATCTATTTAAATATCGTCCAAATTCGCCGTGTTATAAAATAAAACATATTTGAATCTGCTTTAGTGATTTAGTCAAGTAGCGAGTTGATCTGTAGTTAAACGTGTCTGAAGTACAAAGCTGATCGAGTATTTTTTTTATTAAATTACTAAATTAGTCTGAATTGTGTCTAATGTTTTTTACTGTTGGTAGGTGGAGAAGCACCGTGCTGTAGCGGCTCGGGCGCCAGCGGGGCGAGGCGGCCGTGGCGGGAGGGCCCGTCTCAACAAGCATCGCAACAAACAGCCCAAGGATAAGATGGCGCAGCTCGCTGCATACTTCGTATAGGAGACATGCAACAGGCCACAACACATACGTCATGTTTCAACATTTTTCAGAAGTATTTAAGGTTAGAACTACATTCAGCATATCGGTTACATGAATATCTAGGAATAGAAGTAGTTAACATGGACTGTCCATCAAATGTACGTCACATTTGGAGTCACATAAGAAAACGCGCAACGCGCCGCGCCGTCGATATTCCGTTAACCAAACATACACTGGGTGTAAGCGTACTTCGAGATTATTATAACCGATCTTTTGCGTGTAAACGGTATACACACCGTACATACTTGATACATCAAATTATATACAATTTGATGTATTGACATTCCGTTGCGGATGATCGGCAACAGAAAAGCGGCCTATTGTGCGGTAATCTACGAACATTCGCACTGAAATTTTTCTATCAGTTTTCAAATTCAATATTTCTTAACTATTTTATAAAAAGGACTCTGATGATCAAGTAAAAATTAATAATTTGATATCACATCGAAATTTTTACTGTAAAGATCAATATGAATTCATTTTCTAATACATTTACGTCAAAATTATTGTAAATTTAGGATAGTTTATGAAGTAGTAATTTTACGAAATTATCAAAGTAAAATATAAGGCTAGAATAAGATAGAATCGACCCCAATATTTTAAACTCGAATCTAAGGATATGATAACATCTATTATAAATAAGAATGATTAATAATATTAATGTATAACAACTATACACTTATACTTCTTGAGAAGGGGGCGTAAAGACGTTTCTTCAGGGTCGGCAACGCGCGCCTAATACCCCTGGTATTGCAGGCGTTCATAGGCTACGATAACCGCTTATCATCAGGTGGGCCGTATGCTTGTTTGTCAACTCCGTGGTATAAAAAAAATAACTATACAACAAAAAACTTTGGAAAAGCTCTCAATATATTTCTCTAACATGTAGTTATAATGAAAAATGTGTATGAAACATGACAGACATGTTTGAATTTCTAGAAATTGGTCTGAAATCTCATGCTGTAATTTTTTAATATCAACTGTTTGCAAGTGTGAATATGGATGTGTAGTGTTTTTGTTATTGTTTTAAAAAATCGTGTGTATAAAGTTTAATATGTAATATTGATAGCACGATGAGTATTTATTAACTTGATTAATAATTTAATTAAATTGATGTACTTTATGTAGTCAGTAGAGATACATGGTGGAGACGTTTTGTCCGAAATATTACTTGTATGTTTGATAATGTGTTTACTTGAATAATTGCACACGTTGGTGTATGCATTTTATTTACGTAAGTATGAAAGATATTTGAGGAATATTTTCAGCAAATATATTGCATGTATGTTTATAATGTGGTTATCGTACTGTATAATAACCGCAGATTATTGGCGTATTTATGTTCCTCTTCCGGATTTTTTCCCGGATGGGGCGGGGGGCTCGTTCTTTAAAAGAAAGAAACCCATTATGTATTTTTAGACATGTTTTGGTCCATAGTTAAAAGTTCTACTTCTGGTCCTGAGGTGAGCAGTAAGCATCAGATAATTCTAGAATAGACACCAGAATAATATATAGAATAGGCCCATCCGGTTTCTCTTGAATACGTCAATGATTGTACACTATATATGTTGCAAGAAAAGTTTATCCATAATAAGTATTTTTATGGTAGCTTCTTCGTTTTTTGTAAAACAAGGCCCTTTTATTTCGAATTCGCTACAACTTTGGCAAACCATATTTTCCAGTTCTATTTATTACAATATGTCTCGTAATTTGGCGTGCTTCATGGCATAGGCCTCTTCCAGCTCTCCAAACTGAGCTCTATCTTCTGCTACTCTGATCCAGTAAGGTAATTATTTCTTGTACCAAGAATGAATTTACTAAGTTGAACTCTCTTTATATTTATAATATCATGAAATTGGTATTTACTCTTTTTTTTATCAAATTAATCAGTGAAAATTATTAATGTTCCACTAATATATTTGTTAACATACTTAAAAATTCGAATAGGTCAGTAGTATACATTTATTTAATGTAAAATGAACAAAAGCTAATTTTACAATAAACATCATTATTATCTCAGCAATACCCGTCCACTGCTGGACATAGGCCTCTCCCATAGTTGGGGGGTTTTGCTAGTAGTTGCTACACTTGGCAGGCGGGTTGGCAACCGCAGTTAAGCCTTTGGTGATGTTTTAAGAGGGACACTGCTGCCCATCCCTTAACCATTCGTTTCCTTAGTGCCTCTTACGACACCCACGGGAAAGAAAGGGTTGGCCCATTCTATGTCGGGTAGTACATGGCGAAATAGTGAATATAACTTATAATAATATTAATTAAAAATATCTAACAAAATCGTAAACTTTTGTATTTATTGTTATAGTGCAATAAAATATTGATATATAAATATGATTTTATTTATTCATATATTTATTTTAATCCCTTTATTCATGAAAACTAAAACCTACTACATACTTGTTTGACCATCTACAGTGTTTTGTCACTTTCAAATGTAACCTAAAAGAAAGAGAAAAAAACAATTAATAACTATAATAGGTTTATGAGACGTTACCAGAGGGAGACTTTGTACAAAAGTCGTTTCCTTGGGCACCTCTCCCATTCGTGTTTCTACCGTGAAGCAGTTGTGTTTGCATGGCTGTGTTTCGGTTTGAAGGGTGGGATATGGCAGTAAATTTACAGGATACAGAGGATTAACACCTGAGTCCTTAGGAATGGCAACGCATGAGAGGTAATATGAGCGAAACAGTGAACTCTGTCCATGGCTTATGTCTATAGGCGAAGGTTACACTTTCCATCAGGTGGGCCGTCAGCTTGTTTGTCATTCTAAGTTGCATAAAAAAAAAAAACGTTTTTATGATTAAGAACGTAAGATTTTACTAGTTATTTAGTGAAGTCATATTTTAGTTGCGTTAAAGGCTCTGAGGCTTATTAGGATTGGTAATATTTATCAAATGTATGTGATGTATCACGTTATTGTTTTTTTTAATGGATGATAATGGAATAGTAACCCCACCCGCGCTATTGGTATACACCGGCGGGGCACCAGTGAAGGATGATAGATGAGGATGAAGCAAGTCAGTTAGCCCATCGTGACGAATTCAACAAGAATTGTTGACTGATGGTGTTTATGCTTAAACAGCTGAATCTAGCTATAGGAAATTTATTATATTATAAAGATTTTATCCTAATTTACGCGGGTACATATAATGTTATATTAACAGGGGTAAAGTGAAATGTAGAAAGAATAATATACATGTAATCTTTTGCAGGAAACAATAAAAAGTATCTATCTGTTTATACTCGTATTTGCGGTGATTTCTAGTTTTTTTTTTGTTGACGAAAATGGAATGGTAACCCCGCCTGCGCTAACGGGATACGCTAGCGGAGTACCAGTGAAGGGTGAACGATGAGAATGAAAACAGGCCAGTTAGTCCATCTTGATGAATTCATCAGGAATTAACCATGATAGTTTCCAGGGGGAACCACGAGGAGGTCGACCTGGTTGGGTATATTGCTAGCAATGGGATTTTTAGTCTCCATTACTAACAATTCCTTTCCCCCCGGTGATTTGTAGTAGGTAGGTATTAAATAAAAAAAAATCATCACTGAAATAAAACAATGTGGATCTTGAAGTCTTCATTTTATTGTGAAGGTTGTCACCTAGTATAATGTATAGGTACAGTACGTAAGCTTACAATGTATTACTGTATTTTCGTTATATTTAACATTACACCACGTTTGTTAGTATTCGCAAGTGAACGTGATTCGATGATTCGTAAAAATTGGGATGTTAGGAATATCGCAACGGGACCAGGAAGCCAGCGGTAGAAATTAAATAAAAAAATAAACGAAACATTACAAATGTCAAGAATTCAAATCTTTAAAATAAGAATGACTTGATTCAAAAATGGAAATTTTCAAGTAAGTGTTTGTTAATTCATAAACATTTCATACATTAGTACTGTTATATAAAATTATTAGTATTTAATATAGGTAAGTATGTATACACAACTGCCTTATTCATAAAAGCGTCAAACGATCCATAAACCACTTTTTTATATTAAAGTGTTCTGTCCTATTCTTTTGCGTTAAACTCTCAAGTTGAAAGACAGTAACAAAACATTCAAATAGTTCAAATAGGTTTATAGGAGGTTTTAATACTTATGAATAATTGCTGTAAGAAAGATATATACATTGGTCACTAGTATTACAGTAATGATAGAAAATCTGCTAGTTTCTTCGTCCCAGTCGCATACAATATACATAGGGAACTGCATAATCGTATAATATTTTAACACTTGTTACAAATACAGTGAACTTTATAATTAATATAGAATAAAAATTGTCAAATAAAATTATTAATTAATTCGTTCTATATTGTTTCCAACTTTAAATCCTTACCTAAACATGCGTTGTTTCGTATCCTTAGTTATGTATTTCTATTTACTTTGTGGTATTACAATTTTACTATAAATCTTCTTAAATGTTGCTAATAATGAAAAAAAAAGTAGCAAATCTATGTAATATCAGGCAGTTCTAAAAATTAACATTACACAGTCCCATAAAGTCAAAGTAACTATTCGATTTTTAGGTATTATATGTAAAGAGATATTAATTTAGTATTATCTAATATCCATTCATTAATACACTTTTTAAGAATTTGATAAAAAAATGAAAATGGTAAGTATATCAGATATGTAATTGCTAGATCAGAAATTAATAGGGTCTGTGCCATTTCTATTATATATCACAGATTAAGCCAATGTGAAATATTTCAGCAATATAAAATTTATATATTTACACATAAATTGATTTACTAAATTAAAGTAAATTAATTTACACAATAATAACCCTGAACATAATATGCCTAACTATTTTATTCATAAAAACGACGAGCGTCTAATAAATCTAGCTATTCAAGTGTTTTATCTCTTTCAACCAAAATTCAATGTGAAAGATGACAAAACATGCCTAATTTATAAAGCAGGTTTATTGGGGCGTTCACGTTTTTATGAATAAATTGAAACTATATAACTTATTTTTAATAAATAATTATTATATTCGTTTTATAATTTGGTGTCAGTTTGGTCACATGGAGAATAAAGTACCATAATAATATCTATTTTTTCTACGTGCACATTTCTTCCCACCTTTGTGACTGTGACACCCTGTTTATAAATTATCAAAATTATATGCAATTCAATATACAAAAATAGGAAAATTATACATTTTTCTATGCACAAATTGCAGTGATATGCTTTAGAAACTTCACAACTTCCAATTGAAATAAACTTAATGCCTAACAGGCAAGTAATATAATTAATCAAAAGAAATAGTATTTATTACAAAAATCTTAGCCGTAATTGAATATCCTATACGCGGAATGTTTTGCTTTTAAGGTTAACATGTAATTTCGACGCTTACAGTTCAATAAACCTGATTAAAACAATAATAGATATGTTGATAAACGTTCATTTTTTAATTGAGATTTGATATAATTTAATTGATTTGTAATTATGTGTTAAGATAACTACTGACTTGTTTTATAGTCATTCTATACATTATTTAGAATTATTTTATGATACATTTTAATTGTTTATATTATAAAAAAGGTATGTTGAATTATGGGGCATTGGAATGTTACTCATGTGTGTAATCTCAGATAGGGTGTAGGCAGAACCGATTTGTTAGTTGTTATCACTTAGATGAACGGTCGATTTCAGCACTATCTTTGAAAGATTATATAATGCGAATCTAGTATAAGAAGGAAGGAAGGAATACATAATAATATTTTTATACGTTCGCATTAAATTTGTAAATGCAAATTTGTTATTTTTTGCTTGACTTGTGTATTTATCTCTTTTAGATTTTAAACTGCTATTAAAACAGCTAGCTAAATGACGCTTGTCCTATATTTTTTATAGTTATGTGGGTATCAAATACTTTTTTTTATGTAAATATGGTTTGGACGAGTTACAAAGTTGTCTGTACTGAGACCTTTCCACTAGGTACTTTTTTTGCGGACCTTGTTAAAGGTCTGGCTTAGATAGATGGATAGATTATATTATATTTTAAAATCTATTTTTTGCTATAAAATTCATTGAGCTGCAAGCGCCACTGCCCCATCAGCCCACAATGAAGACTTACATACAGATTTAAATTAATATAGTAACGGTTGTGCATTTAATATATTAGTTTGTCCTATTCACTACATTTCCATTAGTATTTACTAATTGCGTACAATTCTAATGACAATGCGAAACTAAGCATAATGTGTAGACTCAATATACTCCGTCAACATACTTTGTTTTGTTTGAGATTCTTGTACCTACGTATAACGGGTAATATTAAAGCCTACAGTAATGTGTTCATGATTCACTATTACTAATATATTAATTTTAATCTCACTGATTTCTTGATAACATAATTATTTTCTAATAGCTTCATATATGTACTTATAGCGATTATTTACAATACCGAATACTTTTTCCAACATTAATTATATTTATCGCGTAAGCAATATCGTCATTATTATTGTTCACCGAATTATTTTACAATAGTCCTGTGTTAGTGTGAGATAATTATGTACCTACTATTTATATTATTACTGTAAGGTATGTGATATCGCGTTAACTTACCTAATTTGCTTAATATTAACTAATACGTCAATAAAAAAGAATTTTTAAAATTCGTTATTTTTCACTTAGGTACGATGGATTGATTTTGACGAAGATTTCAGAGACGTTTAGATAACAAAATTTTATAGAATATTATCATGAGTAAATGAATATTTAATGGGGTATATATATTAAATTGCCTTTCTATACATAATCGGAAGGAGAATTTTAATACCTTATTAAGGCGTAGACATTTTTTAAAAGTACACTTAAAATAGGTAGGTCGGTAGGTACATACATTGAGTATTGAAATTTTGATTTATGTATGTATTTGTACTTTCAAGTATTATATATGTATGTATGCAAGGGGAATGTTCGTTATGTAACTACGACGACTAAAAACTCTAACATCACTAAATGGTCCGAATTTAGTATGAAATATACATGTAATGCAGCGACTTGAATTAATGAAACAATCATGGACCCATACACAATTTACATATAATATTTGTATGAGAGACCACCTCAGGATATTGGAAACGATAGCTGCCATTTTAATGAACGTTACAAAGTTTTTATACCGTATTCCAAAACCAAAATTAACATTTTATTAAAAAATGTAATTTTAATAAATCTGTATTTATTTAAACAATTTACTAGAGTCTTTATTGTCATATTATAATTTATGATAAGCACAATTTATTATATAGATATGTAACATTTGTTTTGTACCAACACATGATTATTGAGAACTTAGAATATTATAACTTTTGGTTTCGGAAAAGGGTACAAATAAAGATAAACACAGATTTTATTACGAAGGTGTAACATGACTGTTAGTTATAGTAAATAAGCTACGAATAGCTTACATTATATTGAGCCACTGAAGTATAATACAATATATTTAATTTTCACTATTTAAAGCTCTTAGTTTTCATTATACACGAGTTCTACCTCGCGTAGAATACTAATGCCCTCAGTAGATGTCGCAGCTCTCGACGCTATTCAACAAGTTACATACAAGTTACCATATTACAATATTAATGATTCTGTCACTTTTATACAACTGTAACTAAAATTTATGCGATATACTTATTCAGCTATAATAATTCAATGTTTATTTTATCTTCGATACATTCACACCGTTATTTATTGTCTTTTATTATAAGGATGTTATCCATCATTATCATGTTACATACTTTCAAGATGTACCTACTATTAGTTTTGGAATATAATCTATTTACTAAATTTTACTGTTTGAATAGCGCCCATTTAGCTGCGTTTATAGATGGGCACGAAGTTTAAGATTACAATAGAGGTAACAACTAGTAAACTGGTATAGTGACTAGAATATATTAAAAAACAAAAGCTTAGCTTTTGGCAATTTCGCATTGGATTTAACACCATTTATAAGATCCGTTTGCATGAATATGTCCTTAACACTCGAAGAGTTTGTTAGGAAGGTCACTTGGATGTAATCACTGCACTTATGACAGTACTTAGGCAATTTGTTCGTAATGTTCATTTTATTTTACAAGTATTTTATTATTTTTGCAAGACATTGTAATTGTCTGCAAAATAAGTAATGCACCTAATCTGATAAATATTGAGGAACCTAAATGGTCCACACTTGTACTTTTTCGGCTACCACACACCAACTGGCTTGATCGTAGTACGAAGATACGACATGAAGACTTTCCACGTATTTCTCTATCAGTTGGTCTAGTTCTCCTCTCTTGAACACATGATAATACCTGTGGTAAGTGACCGCGCCTCCTTCTGAGGGTAGGCTGTCTGAACCGTCACTTAAAGAAGGAAGAAGTGGTGCGTGTGGTACAGCGCGAGCGGGAACAGCCGGTATCGTAGCTGTGTCTTCGGATGATGAACGGGTTTCCAGTAATTTTCTGTCTTTAGAACATTCACTGCATGATGGTAGTGAAGCCAAACTAACGCAACCGAGAGAAGCGGTACTCCCTGTCTTATCTCGTCTACTCCAATCGCTACCTGCAGATGTGTCGCTTGATTCTATTGAGAAACCAGATTTTAAAGGTGCTGTACTTGTACTTGATCTTGATGTTATAGATTCTGGGCTTATTTCCATTTTATCTAAATCGCTGGAGTCAGTTGATTGTCCAACTTTCAGTGAGGATCTTTTGTCAGTGCTAGTGCACAGAGAGTCTACACTAATTTCTGATTCCAATGAGTATCCAGTTTCGAGGGATTGACTAGTGTCATAAGCACCAGAATCGATGGTGATTTCAGGGTTTCCATTAGTTGATGATATGGCACTGTCATCATCCGGATTTTTTATCTCAGTGTCAGGCAATTTTTCATCTATTAATGATTTTATATTGTACTGCAGGTTAGTACAATTGTTAAGGAATATATCTTCATCGCTAGTGACTTTCATAGACTTCTTTAGTTCTCTGTATTTATTAATAATTGGATCCACATCTTTTGATCTCTTTTTACTTTTTGATTTAGTGCCACACTTAGGGAATAGTTTGTTGATATCAGTCTCTTGTGTATCATTCATAGATGCTATATATTTGGTTCTCTCCTGAATTTCAACGCTCAGCTTATTTAAACCTTGCATTTCAGTGCTCAATTTATTAATATATGGATCTTCTAAGTGTTGTAAGCTGTCTGAAAGTTCGTCCAGTATTTTTTGTGTATTTCTATCTTCCTCTTCACGTTTTAATCTGAGAGAGATGCTTTTTTCACTACTACTACTACTTGGTAAATCAAAATCTTCTTCGTTTATTCGCTTAGAATATTGGTCTATTTCTTGCAATAACTTTTCACTTAGTTTTTCAGCAAATTCTGTTAGATGTTGATTTTTATCCTGTTGACTAGTTACCCAATCATCTTCTTTTGCTAACATATCTGATTTACAAGTTATTAAAGGTTCATTTTGTATTCTATTGAAGCTTTCAGATTTTGAAATTGACTTTTCTGAATCTGTGCTTGATATTGACACTGAATCGTATGGGAGCCTTGTAGGGCTTCTATGACTTTTACTTAAGTTCTCATCTAAAGATCGGCCTTCTGGCCTGTTTGGAGACAGCCTATTTAAACTCCATGTAGAGTTACTTGTACTACCTTGTTTCGGCGAACGATCTTTTGATCTCCTTCCTGGTGAGAGGCGTTCTAAACTGGAAGAACTGCCACTGGAACTAGTATGTGATTGAGATCTAGATTTATCTTCCAATAATCTCAAATCACCGGGCGAGAGTTTGTTCAGGCTCCAGCTACTGCTACTGCTACTCGAATTACCTTGAATAATAGCGATTGCGTCAGCACTTTCAAGTTTTTCCAATTGTCGTCTTTTAGATCTAGGACTGGATTGAATGACTGTTTCACAGGCCTCGTCTAAGGAATGAGCTACCTCTGCTGCAGCTTCAATGAGACTTTGTGGTGCCGTAGAGGTACAAGGAGTTTTTTCTGTAGTCGGTTCTTCTTTATTTTCTTCTAAGATAAGGGTTGGCAAATCTGTAATATAAATAAGTGTTATAAAATTCTAATTTGTCAATACTATGTTAAGTATAAAGATTATATTTGAAATATTAGACGGTATTATTTATAACGTTTTATTCTTTATAGTACAAATAGTGATAAAAACAATTTTAAACAACATGTCTCTAATAGGTGATTTCAGCAAATCTTTTCATGTGAATGAAATTGTTATTTAAAAATAAATATTATTTTAATTTTAAGCATAAAACCTTAGTCCTTAGGAACAGCATCGCTGAGCGACAATGTATTTTGTGAGTTTTGTGGTATTATTGTAGGTATAGGCGTCAGTTATCACTTTCTACTAAGCAGACTGTTAGTTTGTTTTAATTTGAAAATTATATAAAAAAAAAAATACCAAATAATAATGTAATTATCGAGATACCTTTTTCTACTGCAGTTTTACGGAGTTCGTCAGGCACAACACTTATAACACTGTCGACTGAGTCTGGTGAAGATACCCCACTTGAGTCGCTGTCCATGTCATCTGTAGCTGGATTAAAAAGTTCTAACGACATTAATGTAGGGCGACTTTTTGCAATGGGTTCTGCTTTACCTGTTGTGCGTACTATTGGGAAGTGTTGCCTCCTATTCATATTTACGGGAGGTATTCCTTTGTTTAACATTTCTTTTATTTGTCGAATTCTTTCTTTTCTCTTACGTTCAACAGATCTTGAATCTAGAGTGTCATTTGTAGGAGATTTGTTCGCTACTTTCTGTTTAAATTGTGGTATTTCTGGTAATTCTGCCACTGTTTGTAACGTTATTTTTGGGTATGGTTTTACGTCTTGTAGTACTACTCTTGGTTTCAATTGATTAGTTTCAACTGTGAGTTTGTGTATTTCTTCTATGTCTTTATTGATTTCTGCAATTAGTTCTTTTGTTATCTCCGTTGGTGTTTCTTCTTCTTCTTTTATAGGAGGAATCGGATCAATTTCTTCGAAGACTTCCACAGGTATATTTTTATTTATTATAGATAAAATTTCAGGTTTTAGTATATTTTCATCGGATTCTGACTTTGGTGGCGAATTTGGTTGGCTCTTAGATTGAGGTTTCAAGGGCACAGTACCCACCGTACTTGTAGAATAATTCTTTAAACTGTACTGAGCTACTAATATTTTATTAACAGCCGCTGGTGTTTGAACTGCGTTTGGTGATGCTGGTGGACGAATTAATGGGAAAGCTTGTTTAATCCTTGGCGATGGTAGTCCTGGTGAACTCTTCATTCTTGGAGAGGTCGGAACTGAAGAGACTTTTAAACGTGGAGATGTTGGACCAGGGGAAAGAGGAGTAGGTGATAGCGGATCTCCAGATCCATCAGCTTTAGGAACATATATCACAGATGCAAAACTATCTTCTGAATCGACACTAGTATCACTTTGAAGACTGCTGTCTTTTGATGAATCTGATCCATCTTCTTTAGAATGTCGTCGTTCCGGGTAAACTTTCTCATTTACTGTATTATTATCATTAGGAGTAGGAACTTCTGGCACCGGGCCGTGATTTTTCCAGCCCTGAAGCATTCTCACAAACACGGTTACTTTATCTATATTCGTTGTAGACGTTTTGAACTTACTAGTGAGGCCGTTTTTTAGTGATTGAAATTTTTTAGCAGTCGTCGCAGATGTAGAAAATATCGAGTCCCGAATTGAGTCTAATGCTCCTGGTCTTCGATATAAATACTCTTCGTTTAATGAAGCTTGTTTTTGTATATTTTTTCTTAGGCGTTCTTTTTCTCTTAATCTTTCGACAGACATTAGCTCTTCATTAAGTGACGTTTGTTTGAATACACCAGGTTTCTTGGATTGCAATCTATAGGTATGTATCTTGAAATTAGGCATTTCTTCGACCAGACTTTTCATATCAGTAGGCTTATCGAGATCTTCATCTGCGTCGTCTTCGTTTATGGATTTCTTTTGTTTAACAAGTCGCGGTTTTTTACGTGGCTCGTTAACCTCGGGTGCTGGGGTTTCTTCTAGGGGTGGATCGTTTTCATCTATTACCAGGCTAGGCAGACTAGATCGTGACCGCACGAGTGCTCGACGTTCTACATCCGCTATATCGGTTAGGCTTCTTGACTTCATAGTGGATGATTCAGAAGATTGTGTAATCAATCGTGGTGGAACGGCTTCGTCTAATCTCCGCAGTTCAATAGGTAAATCTGCAGCTGGTGGTTCTGGGCGGGAGGTACAGGGGCGAGATGGAACTCGAGCGCCCATGCTCCAAGAAGGCAAAAATGATCGTCGACCAGCTAGTCGCTGCAGTGCTCTTCTTACGAATGAATAGCAGGTTTCGTTGGGCGACGAAAGGGATGATGAACCAGGTGATCCATCTCTACTTTTCCACGGTTCGGCGTTACTGAAAAAAGATAAATGGGCTTTGTTATAGTTTTATAAATATGTTAATATGTATACCAAAAAATGGTAAATTAATTATGGAAATATGAGTATATTAATTAAATACTTACGGATCATGATCGACAGAGAGAAATCTCGGCGTTGGTGTAGGTGGACATAAAGTGGCTGGTCGGTGCCAGGGAATTAACACGTCCTAAAATTAAAGGTATAAAATTGGCATAACTGTTACTAATAAATATTAATTATGATTGAAGTAGGATGTATCTACTATAGTTAATGACATCAAAATTAAAGATATACTAAAAATTTTGTAAGTGCAACATGGTAGAAATGTTTGCGTATTATTAAGTTTAACTGTATCTACAAGGCGTTTATTCATGTAGAGATGGGCATCGCGGTAATAACAGGCTAATATCGTCTTTTGGGGAGAGACTCTTGCCCAGCTACGGAATATTAATGAGTTGCTAAGATATGAACGTAATATATTTGTGATTACAATAAACTGAGTAACCAAGTTAACGCAGAAGATCTACCAATGTATAGAAAAATATTGCATGCATTCGTAGGCTTTGGTAACCTGTAACTATCAGTCGGGCTTTGTTTTGTTAACCATTATAGTGGTACAAAAAATGTGTATTAGGTTTAAAATGTATAACAACCTGTGAATGAAAGTTCCTTCCCTCGTGCTCCATGGCCCAGACGGTGAGTAATAGTCGACCACCGATCCTGGTGACTCTCGCCAGTTCGCGCAGAGCCATCGCGCGACGTTCCACGGTTGCAAAGTGGTGTACCACCGCGATCGAGAGCACCGCGTCGAATGACTCGTCACGGAACGGTAAGCATAAGTTGTCGCATACCACCACCTGAGCAAAATAAGAAAAATATTCCGTGAACATCTATTTATGACTAGTTTTTATTCGTGCTTTTGTAGGCTTTATTAGAATATTAGTTGATCGGGATAAAAGTAGCCTATGTTCTTAATTATTTATATTGTTACGTTTATGTCAAATTTTGTGCGATTGTTTGAGTTGTTAATGTGCTCAGAGCGTGCACTTTTAAATAAAACATTACGAAGTAAGGAACAGAAATATTGAACCATACTAACTAAAAATTATAGTTATAAATTTATAAAAAATATTAAAGCTTATAAAAATTAACGAAAATACTGACAATCGAGCCTGGTTTCGCAAGGGTAAATAGAATTTTTGAAAACAATATGTAGCTTATGTTACTCGCTGATAAATTATTAGATTAAAAATTCTTTCACCTTTCAATTGGTGAAAGAATTTTTAAAATCTGTTGAGTAGGTTTTGAGTTTATTCATTACAAACTAACAATTAAAATTAATAACATGCACAATCAAATATTTTTTAAAAAAATCAAATAATGGAATGTGATTTTTACATTTTCCACCCAATGAAAGTAACTCAATAGTCATATTGAAAACCTAAATTTTGAAGGACTTTCCTCCCGCGAACATACAGGCTATGAAATGACCTCCCTGCCGAATCTTTCATAGAGACTGCAGGGACTATGGGGTTCTTTAAAAAGGACATATTAAAATTCAATGTTGGTAACGCACATGCATTACTCCTAGTATAGCAGACGTCCATAAGTTAACCAAAAAAATGGGTTCTTGCTTGCCACTTTTGTCAAATAAAAAATATGTAAACATGTAACAAAACTAACCTCATTGTCGTGATGTCGCGCGTGCGCCGCGAGTCGCGTGCATCGGTCGCCGCCCACCGAGAATACGGACGGATTCACGCTTAGATATTTGCCGTTGCCACACCCTGGTGAAAAAAAAAAAACATTATCATTATTACTTTAAAAAATTAATAATTGAAAATATCAGGAGTATCTTAATATATTTAACATTAAGCGTATCATTGTCTTATTTAGTCTATCGACTAAGTAGTAACGGCTATAACAAATTGTTATGGGCTATTTAAGTAGGACATAAGTTTTGTTGAAATTATCAAAGAATAATTCTCTAAATGAAACTGACAATGAATCAGAACATTAAATTATAAAACAATTTCTGATTTGTATTATTAAACATTAATAGATTGCGGTATGGTCCCAGCATAGAATAGGCTACCCCTTCCTTTACCGATGGTGTTGTAAGAGGCGAGTAAAGAAATTTAATGGTCGAAGGCTGGACAGCAGCGTCTCTTTTAAAACATCACTAAAGCCTAACTGCGGTTGCCAACCTGCCTATCAAGCGTGGCAACTACTGGCAAAGCCCTCCTTATGGGGGAGGCTATGTTAAGCAGTGGACAGTTAACGGTTGACACAAAATGAATGTTTTATGGTCTGGTCAGTTAGTCGAATAATTTCATGGTACTGCTCATGTCTATAGGCGACGGTTACCACTTTCCATCAGGTGGGCCGTCAGCTTGTTTGTAATTCTAAGTTGTATAAAAAAAATATTAAGTTTTATTAAAACAATATATATATGTTAATTTAGTATAATTGTTCTATCTATTTATAAAATTTTATTTATATTCGTGCATTCAAACATTTTTAAAATATGATATAGTGAAGTATTGATATAGTAAATATACTACAGCGACCTACTGAAGTACTTTTAAAAGAAATATCTAGCAAGTTTGGCTTAGGAATAATTTAATGAGGTCAGTTTCAGAAATACTGGAAATGCCTATATATATTTATTATAATTTACAAGCTTTTACTGTGATATGTGTGATATGTAAGTGATATGTTCATTGATCTATGTAAAATTTCATTAAGCCACTAAGAGATAACAAACAAACTGACATTCGTATTTATAATATTAATAAGGATTCTTAGTATTGTATTATTAGTATTGTATTACCTAAGTAAGTATTCCTAGAAAAAACATGAGTATTATGGTAAATGAATGACGTGTCTACTTGTTTACCTACACCTTAGTATTGACGTTAAACTCGTAGATAGGATCGCATTTAAGGTAATTTTTCACCCATGACATTTCCAACTGTATTCAAATTTTATAATTTACCGTAATTTATAAATCATTGCCTTGACTTTTCTATGTATTTGGTATCATCTATATGTATTTCTCGACAATAAATCATAATTTATAAATGTCATGATTATAATTCGGTATTCCGATGCTGCATTATAATGTTGAGACAAGTTTAACAGGTATTTTCCTGTAATTAGATATATTATATAATATGTGAACCATAATTATGTATCTATAGTAATAATGGTCCAGGTGTGGGTTCAATTATAGTTCAATGCAAACATTTATTTTCATGAATATTTTTATGAAATGAATATGGAAATTATCGGATAAATAAATAAATATTACTATTTATTAATTTATTTCATAATTTTAATTTATGTTGATCCAGATTATATATATATATATATATATATATATATATATATATAGTGTGTGGTGTTAAATTACCAATCTCCATAAATTTAAGACTGCCCCACGTTGGGCGCCAATAAGATAAATTTATTACAGAAAAAAATTGTAGGTATCTTTGACAATATTAATAAACATATATAACTATGTACCATAATATATGATATCGCAAACATGTTAAATAGCCTGATAAGGTTACTATGTTATTATTATGTAATGTTGCAACACAGTACCTACTAACTCTATTAACTTTTGACATTATAAGAAATATAATTATCTTCCGATTTTTTTTGCATGTTTTCGAGAAAAACATATCGTGGGTAGCGCGCTGGTTTTCTAAAGTAGGTATATCTATAAAATGAGGAAAACGAACGTGGGTGTTTATGATATTAATTTTGATAAATATGGCAAATATCAGTTAACTGGGGGCGATTGGGCTCTATTATTATTTATTATAGCATAACGCGATTTTGTAAGGTTTCATCGTCCTAATATTCAATTATTATGGAAACGTTTCTAATTTTCCATGACAGTATCGTAGAGGTACTTGGATATTTATATAAGCGTTTTATACTATTAATTATTATTTAGCTCTCTCGTTATATTGTGACATTATCTGTTTTCGCGGCTTCAACTGGTGTCATATCGTAATGTTGATTACTTTATAACCTTTCTTAACAAATGAGTTATTAAATTCACGAAAAATTTTCAATTGAGACTGAAAGTTTCAGATATTAACGCCTTTAAACAAAGTTTTTACGTTTTTATCATATAAATTCCTATAGATATAGTAAGAAAAATACAGAAATTATTGGAAATATGGAAGGAAAAAATGAAAAAAGTACTAATACGATGGCTTGATGTAGTCTAGACGACCTGACAAACAAAGATTTAGAAATTTGTATCAATGGCTGAAAAGCGTACGGCTTGGAGAACGACGGTGTAAAAAGTGACAACGTTATATTGTTATAATTATGAAGAAACGAGAAAGAAGATACTTATATAGCGTTACAATAAAGTACAATATCGTGTCGTGCTACGGTAAATTACAAAAGCACCCATAAGAAACCATTGCGCACGTGGATGAGCACGCTGTAATAAAAATATCAAATATATCCTGTTACACACTTAACAAGCTACTAAAGCTTTAGTCGAGCAAACACGATGTTTAATTGACTTTGAAATTAGATTTTATTCTTTTATACATTATTTTTATAGCGCTTCTGATGTAATGTAATAATTGTTCTCTAATGACATAATTAGACAGTACAGAATGCACTGCGATGCTCTTGGTATTCCTCATGCTTTGCCAATCCTGAAATTATGATATTATGCTGACGTACTTTTACTGCCTTATCCCACCCTTAAAACTGAAATACTGTGTAATTTCTTCATCACAGTTACTTAGTGGTAGCATTTCTAGTATATCCATAGAAATAACCTTTGTATAGTATTCTTCAGGAACAAATAATAGTAAATTCAAAATTAAATTAACTATGTTTTGTAAAGTTGAGTATACCTACCTACAATAACCATTTTATACATATAGCGAGTTTTTTTTTATTTATTTCATGAGAGCGTACAAATTATGTTTTTGTATAATCCTACACATTGAGGTAAGTAGTGTTTTCGGGCTTATTATCGCATCGGATTGTTTGTAGCGTGCTCGCCGCCGCCCACGCCTTTTTGTTAACATCAATGTATCCGCAGGCTTTGTTTTCCCAGCTAAATGAAGCATGAAATTATCCTAAATGTCAGCTGTAGGCGGACAGTAAACCCGCTGTCGCTTGTCACTTTGACCGCTATTTGTGACGACGCAATATCAATGAATCTTTCATTGAATGATTCATTAACGTTACATCGTGCCCTATGAATTCATATTAGTGATGATATTTGTTTACCTACAATACTGTACTGTATACGTAAGATGCTGCCGGTTTATAGTCATAGGGTTGTGTTTATATGATTTTCGATTTCACAATCACATTTTGTGTAGTAGACGGAGTTTTAAACGATGAATATTAAATATGAATAACAAACATTAGAAACTTTTCGGCTTATAAATAAAATTAAATGACTCGCAAACAGGATATGCCTAATAAGATTTTGATCCACAAATATTGCTCAGCAAAAAGTCATCACGACTAAAGTCAGCAATATTTTCAGTCGTAAACACACACACACACATTAAAGGTTTCATTGTTCCTTGATAAAATCTTTCGTAAAGATTATATTAAAAGTATTTTAATTTGCAACGTAAAATTACGTATTTACAAGCAGATATTGCTTCGCAACAAGTACTTTGTAGCTTTGCAAAAAAGTACAGCTTCAAATTTTAAATTTCTACAGTTAAAATATAAAGAATTGTGAAAATCTGCTTAGATTTTACGACGTACTTCGTAATGTAACGAAACCTACAAAAGAATTATTAATTTCTTCTTTCGGAAGTCGTTTAAGTTAAACAAAATAGTTTCATAATTATATCACAAGAACGATATATTTTTACAGTACAAGGAAACAACATCCAGAGGTTGGTATTTATACCTATTAGAGTGATTTGAATAAAAATCAATAACATATTACTGTGAAAGTCATTAATTAATAACTGTTAGTAAGAAGGATTCTAAAAACAGACTAAGGTCGAAGTTATTTTTGGAACGCCTGAATAATTAACTATAGCAATTTTCTGCTTTTAATTGTATGTACCTAACTAAGGCTTTATGGGAATTATTTAATTAGTGGTTGCAATTTTTATGTCTTAGTAAATAATTGAGATGGCCAGTAACATCATAAAGGATATAAATTATTTTCGAGCATTTATTTTTGCAGTGTTACATTTACGCGTAATATTACATAGTTTCTGATTGAATGAAATTCTTTTCGCATCTTCAATATGCAAAAAATATTTTAATAATTTTAGGCTTGACCAGATCTTATCTATTATGTGTACTTTCTTTAAATCATCTAGAATTCCGAATCGAGGCTTTTTGTTTTAAAAAATACTAACAAAATATTAAATTAATTTTTTTTGGGTTTTTGACTTATGTATCTTAAAAATAAAGCTTAGTTTTACCTTTTCAAAACTCCTTTAAGTATGCTAATAATTTAGATTTTAATCTGTATTGCCATAGTGCAAAACGTGTGGTACTTACCTATCTTACTATATACATAGAAGTATTATATAAGGAGTATACAGATAAACATTATATTACAATACTAGCTGTATCCCGTGACTCCGCATTCATGAATCAGGACATATACAAAGGACACTACGTACTAAGTTAGGATATAACCTATCCGTGTACCAAATTTTATTTAAATCCGTTCAATAGTTTTGCGTGAAGGAGTAAACAAATATTTTCGCATTTATTATGTTAATAACACTATTTTAAATAGTAATACTAAAGTTATTATCGTATCCAATGTTTGTAGAGCTATGAATAAAGAAGAAATGTACTAGACTCCAAGTGGGATAGAAAGATCTAAATGGTCCATTGTGCCTCAGTGTTACTATTTATAGACTATAATAATAATGCTTTGATTGTACTAAAATAGAATATAATGTACTAACCGACATCACAAACAAGACTTCCAGGATCGAGGTCGGAGAGGAAGGCCTGCACGCCAGGCGCTGGGGCTCTGGGTGATTCGTCCCCATCTTCGCCAGCTTGCTCGTACACATCGTGGACGTATGCCCTCTCGAGCGCCGCGCCGCGCGCCGCGCACTCTACCGCGCCCGTCTCCGCCTCCGCCACCGCGTCCGCCGCCGCGCCCGCGCCCGCGCCTCCATCCGCCATCACCGCACCGCCATTGCACCGCGCTGAAATTACAGTGATTTTTAAATTACTAACAAATTGAAATTTTCAATCAATTAACCGATTTTTAATAGAAATAAGTAGACTACCTTATACTGTTTATTTATAATCATCATCTTCCTACCCTTAACCCAATTATTATTTGGAGTCGGCGTAATATGTTTTTATCCATATTACAAAAAGATTTGGCTTATAGTTTTACGATCGGCCGCCTGCCTGACGTGAACCCTATTTGGTCTCTTTTTTTATTTCTTTTTTTCTCTTTTCTCTTTCTTATAGTCTTTATTTATATTATTATTAATTTATAGTATTTTTTTATAAATCTGAAGTGGCAAACAAGCACACGGACCACTTGATAATAAGTGGTTACCGTAGTCTATAAACGCCTGTCATATTAGGGCCATAACGTGCGTGTTGCTGACCCTGAAGAAACCTTTACACACTATTTTAAAGAATCCCATGTTGTAGTCATTTGGTAATATCACGATGATTATTTAGATACCAAGAAATAACAAACAAAAACATGCACTTTCACGTTTGTAATATTAATTAGAACGGTACAATTAGATGATATAAATATTATCTAACTTGGTTTAGAGTATTTTACTAAAAATAGGAAAGTAGGTACTGCACCTTGCTATTTTTAGTAAAATAGCTTCGTTGTAAATCTAGAGCTATAAATCAGAGCTTCGTGTCTTAGATTGTTCTGCACAAATAGCAACCAAACAAACAATGCAGTCTTTTATAGCCTTTTTTCTTTTATAGAATACTGTTTATTTGCAATCATGGACTCAATAGATTTACAGTTATAAAAATAGAATTAAGTTAGATAATTTCATTCTATAGACACAGAAATGTGTTTATTTAATTTTATTTTCAATAGAATTATTATCATAACTAACTTATTAAAAATACAATATAAATTATTTATATACATATATAGGCATTTATAAGGAATCGTGGAAGACTGGAGTTTCCTAACACAGGTATTTCGATACACTTAAAAGGTGACGTGTAAAAATATTTAATAATGATTATTGTTATTATTTTTAACCGACATAAAAAATTGTTTTTATTTCAGTTGTATTTTTTTGTATTTATTGCCTCAGAAGTTCGTCATTTATAAACCGATTTGAAATATTATTTTTTTTATTTGAAAGGACATACTTTCAGATCGGTTTTATAAGAATTTCATCAAAATTGGTTAAGTAGTTTAGTTTTTAAATCATAATAACTGGTTTTGTCACAATTGAGTTCGTTGTTTTTCTTTGTGGAGGAACAAAATGTATTCATATACCATAAAATTGAATTGAATCTAGAACAAATAAACTTAATAAATCCGAGTGACGATTGTAGGCTCACCTACTGTCATATTTGATTTTAATATGTTGACAAATGTCTCTGACTACCCTATTGGCGATTATAGTCGTGAACATATCTATTTTTATTTTTGTGATATCTATCAAATATACCAACAGAGCTCGTTAGTAGAGAATGATCAAATAAAGATCAGACCATCTGTCTGGGTGTGGTGAGATAGGTCGTTAGGCGCCGGTTGGCTGGAACATTTTATTAACAAACTTTACTAGATCTGATTGAGCTTTGTCGCATATTTCATATTTTTGTATTATATGTACCATTATGGTGAAGTATGAACTTCGTTAATTTATTTTAATCAATCTATCAACTATTTCTTTTTAACAATAGTTTCCAATGGAACTTTAATATGAATTTGATTAAGAGTATAAGTAGCTAAGATTAAGATAAAAAAAGATTAAGGGAAGCCAAAATTCGTTAACCAAAAGTAATTTTTAGTTAGATTTTTTAAAATAAAATAGAGCTCAAAATTTTTCAGTGATTTAATTAAAAATTCATCTAATAACATGGATTTTCTCGTATGCTATTCACGTACACGCACGAAGGAAGAAGTAAGTTGGTCTATTTTTGGCTAAATATTAGTATTTAAACACTCCATGTAGAGGTATATAATCTAAGTAAATAGTTATATACTGTTATATATAAGTATAGACAGGTGTATATTATGTTTTACTTCAGGATATGGTCCGTGCACCTTTCGTTCAAATCTATTTAGTCCGTTACAAATATCTTTGCCAAATTTCAATTAGTAGATATTTTTTACCTTTAGCAACTCGTAACCTCGAATGTTTCATAAATTTCTTTCAGCTTCTCAAAGGATGACTGTAAGATATCCTTTCATATGACAAGTTTACTATTGTATGTTAAACCTTTTTCATGTGTCCAATGTATTTACAATAATATTTTTTTAACAATCACAAATTTTACATAAATAATATTAAAAGGAATAATTACTAACACACAATTATACGAATTGTTTGTGTTTTAAGCAAAGTGAAAATATCACCAGAGTTATGAAAAATCTAATAGCGAACATTTGGGTCTCGGGGTACAATCTAACCGGATTAAATTAAAAAAAGTTCATTTCCAGAAATGCTCCCATCGACTCGAAGTTGGGACTTCCATTACCAAAAGTGACGTGTCTACAACGGGGTCACGAAAGTCGTCGAAAAATTGATTGCATTATACAACAAACCTACAAATCGGGAGAAAATCACTTCTCTCTCCTACTGAAAACACGAACGTGTGTCAACGGTCGCTACTCTCATAGGGTTAATCGCTCTAGTTTCCTAATGTCTGTAGGGATATACTGTTAAATATACAGAAAGACATCAAAATAATTACTATCATTTTAAGGCAATGTTCCACTAGTGAAAGTGAACATTTTTTTCAAGGAAATAAGGTCGAAAAATGACAAAAAATTTTGAGCTCCAATTACATTACACACGGTACTAACTTGACAGGTTTACGCGAATCGTAATCATTAGTATCTTTCTAAGATAGCGTTCATCTGTGAAATCAGTAAGCATTTCTTGCAAAGAAATACAGGATAAAAACAACAAAAGATACTATCCTCTTATACGTACTGCAGCTGGAAATGTCGTCGTTTAAAAAAATATAAGATAATCGCGTATTATATCTATACACTAAAATACAAATTAAATTAAAATCTCCTTTTTTGTACTATTATGGTGATAAACAATCATACGGACCTTCTGATGGTAAAATGTTACTTTGTCTTTTTGGTATCGAATGAAAATATCTAGAAATAGTTATCGTAACATAATTTTTACTATCTATTTTGTATATAATATGCATCTAAGACATACATATGATCCTATCTGATAGCGTAATAACCACCTTATAAAGTAATCGAATGGAGTTAGTGCTGGGCATCTAGGGGGAAGCCACGAGAGGGGCGGGGCGGCGATGCGCGTTCCCCGTTGTTATGGTTACGCATCTGGGAAACCAGGTCGCTGGGAATCCTTCACCCCTTGCCCTGGGCCTCGATGTAGTGCACTGAAAGGGATATTGCACTAGTATCGCATTATAATGTACTCATGTTGTAGGTAAGTTAGTTTATTATAAACACGTGAGTGTAACAAGATATTATTTAATGAACTTTTGTTATTTAAAACTATGGAAATACAGGATTTATGAGATCAGATAATAAATTTATCTATTTTATGATCTGGAAAAAACTGACGTTTATTTGATTTAAATTCTCAGTCTAATTTACTTTGAACTTTATGTAACTGTTCGAGTACACATGTATTTTTTGTCATTTATTGATAATGGGTGAAGATATTACGTAATACGTGACAAAATATATATGAGATATTAACTGATACGAGTGTATATTGTATTGAAATTGAAACTTATTTAGATTTGGTGGAAAAAATGAAAATGTAAAAATGTAAATCAAATCTCTTATTAAATGTTACGACTGTCGAGATAAGAGAATACCTTTTGCTATCTGATTGACTAGTATGGTCAAATTTGTTGAGGAAATTAATTGTCAGACCCGACAATACAGAGCAGATCATTCTAAGTCGGAAATTAATTGACTCTCTGTAAAGAGAGAAAGAGTCAAAAAGAAGAAGAGGGAAGTAAGATTAAGAATTCGATCGTTTGATTGAAACTAAATGTATATGGAGGTTTTTCATGCAACTTAGTATGATAAAAAAGTTGACGATCTACCTGATGGAAAGTAGTTACAATCGCCTGTCTATCTAGTGTTTACCGTCGTGAATACGCAGCCGGAAAAATTATCGATCATATTTTAAAACGTGCAACTTTGTTATGGTTACTGTCAATAAATATTTCAGGCATTTGGTATTGCTTCTATAGAATCATTAAATTTTCATTGCGATATATTTACGACCAGTCATCATCAATTTATACGATGACTTCAGGCTACTATTTTAGTGGTAATAAAGTTATACTACAAACAGTGCGAGTACAACGACCCCGATTGACCCAGTACTGGTATAAGTGCGAGGTATATCTTTAATTGACAATTGCTAAGGGTCTATTCAAATTCTAGACATACTTATGATTAGGTCATAGTAATGTACCTATTTGTATTTCAGTTCTTTTTAAATATAATTTAGGCTTCATGTAAGGACGGTCACATGACTGAAAGTGGAAATATTTATAGCAATACTAGATGACCCGGTGAACTTCGTATCATTTACAATGTCATTTATTAAAAGTAATCCGAAGTAGTAATGGTTTTGCCGTGTAGTGTCGGTATAGAATAAGCCTCCTTTCCCATCGTAAGGGAGCTTAAAGGATGTGGAGCAGCGTCCCTTTTAAAACATCACTAAAGCCTAACTACGGCTGCCAATCCGCCTGCCAAGCGTGGCAACTATTCAAAAAACCTTACTTTTGGGGGAGGCCTATGTTCAGCAGTGGATAGTAGTTGGTTGATGTGATAATAATATGATGAAGTAGTAGTAGCTTCCATACAAAGTTACATATTTCATGAATGAAAATAACAAACGGCAATTGATTTATATACCTCTATATATATATATATATATATATATATATATATATATATATATATATATATATATATATATATATATATATATATATATATAGATTTCTGACCCTAATTCAT